TATTTTGCCTTACAACACCTTACGTGTAACCCCTCACCATGAATGGATTAAAATACATTTAAGCCAAAACTTCATCATAAAACAATATGTCAGGCATCAGGCAGTGAATTCATAACCATTTCATGTAGTAACTTTCTGTGAGGGAGCTTTTAGAGGTGGACGTCTGGTTCCTATCACCACCACTGTGAACATTTCTGACTCAGTAAGTTTCTCTAGAACAGAGCGTTTCACACCAAACCACTCTGAACGACTCTGTTTACATCTTAAACATTTAGCCATGTACATTTTTTTGAAAAATCGGTGGAGTTCCCCTTTAAATGCAGCTGTTAACGTACATTGGAATAAGAAGCCAATTTCACTTCAGCGTCGTCTGAGACATCGTCACATCATCCTCTGCTCCAGTGCAGCTTTAATGAAGCGGTTATAAACAGAAACACTGTGTAGAGCCGCGTCTACAGGCTTTTAACCCATAATTAAATGTGCAAAATACAAACCAGCTCCAAAACTCGACTGACAGCCCGACTTATACGAGCCTCGAGCTCAGAAATTCTCCAGTCACTGAAATAATACAGCACCGTCAAACCTGCAGGTACAGAAATGTGGTTAAATTAAGTCTCAAACAGGAGATTTAATACCTTATTTGATTAAAAAACTCTTCTTTAGCCGAGTCAACCAGGGTTTAAAAAGTAAATAAAGGGCAGCTACTGTTAAAGAACCGTTTTCCAGCATCGCCACCTACAGGCTGGAGGACTGAACTGCACGTGTTGACATCATGAATGCAATACAATATCAAATGAAATATTGAACTGAGACACAAAATTAGAGCATTTAAGTATATAAAGGAGTTACTATTAGTATTATTAAGTGCCATCAAGACGATTCTGACTCAAAAACAGATGGTTCGTCAAGGGTTGGAAGAAAAAATATCTCCACAGCTTTGCTCTCGATACAAAACTAACAATAAAAAACAGTAATAATAATAATAATAATAATAATAATAATAATAATAATAATAATAAAAACAGCAGGAAAAGACAATTCTTTTATTGAAGATTAAGGCTTTCCAGCATCAAGCGTTAATCTTAAATTGGCCTGGACACAACTGACAAACCCACAAAAATCCACTCTTTTTATACTCTTTTTGGGCAAGGAGAGGTCAACACCTTTCTTCTCTTTGCCCTTTGCATTTGTTTCAAGCTTTTGATTTGCACATCATTGTCTGCAAAAGTTACGGCTACTTTTACCACCCTTATTTCCAAACCAAGAAGTATTCCCAGAAGCCATTCCCAGGCCCAAGCCTTCAAGCTTTCTTCGCTTCATCTGTTACGTTTGGATTTATATGTTTTTAATTTAGTTCAGCTACATATGTACTTTTCCCTTTTTCCCATTAATTTTAATGTTCCTGATATTAACAGACTCCAGCTGTATGTGTGCGTCTATTCAAGTCACAGCTGGCTGCCCATCCTGTGGGGTCTGATGCTGTTGCTTCTTCTGCCTTGATCGGGTTCCCACTGCTCGCCAGCCTTCTGGACCGGTTAGACCACCACGGAGTTTCTCGCTGTACAAACACTGTGCAAACCTCCCCAGATAGCATGCGGATGTGGGCCACTTCTGGCATTGCTGATATGGCACTGCTGGCCCATGGTCGGCACTGGCTAACTGCATGTGAGCCAAAAGTGGCCCACATATTAAAATGCTCATATGGCCCACATGTCTAAAAACAGATTTGGGCCACTTATGGCAAACATTGCCAGAGCTGACATGAGCTACACGATGATCATTTATGTTTTAAACAGGGGTTTTAAATCAGATCTTGGTAATATTTGGCACAGTACATTGTAAAAAATCCAACCTAAACTGTTTTAGCTTTTGTGACATTTTATTTGTTATTTCAAAAAAGAGAAATGCTGGCTTAAAATGCTAATTTTAGTTAATCCAACACAATCTGCCTCAGCACTAGGAACAATACTACATAACCTAGTTTGCAGTTTAATTCAGATTTACACCGATCAGGCATAACATTATGACCACCTCCTTGTTTCTACGCTCATTGTCCATTTTATCAGCTCCACTTACTATATAGGTGCACTTTGTAGTTCTACAGTTACAGACTGTAGTCCATCTGTTTCTCTGATACTTTGTTAGCCCCCTTTTACCCTGTTCTTCAGTAGTCAGGACCCCCATGGACCCTCACAGAGCAGGTACTATTTGGGTGGTGGATCATTCTCAGCACTGCAGTAACTCTGACGTAGTGGTGGTGTGTTAGTGTGTGTTGCGCTGGTATGAGTGGATCAGACACAGCAGTGCTGCTGGAGTTTATAAACACTGTGTCCACTCACTGTCCACTCTATTAGACACTCCTGCCTTGTCAGTCCACCTTGTAGATGTAAAGTCAGAGACAATAGCTCATCTGCTGCTGCACAGTTTGTGTTGGTCATCCTCTAGTCCTTCATCAGTGGTCACAGGACGCTGCCCACAGGACGCTGTTGGCTGGATATTTTTGGTTGGTGGACTATTCTCAGTCCAGCAGCGACACTGAGGTGTTTAAAAACTCCAGCAGCACTGCTGTGTCTGATCCACTCGCATCAGCGCAACACACACTAACACACCACCACCACATCAGTGTTACTGCAGTGCTGAGAATGATCCACCACCCAAATAGTACCTACTCTGTGAGGGTCCATGGGGGTCCTGACTACTGAAGAACAGGGTAAAAGGGGGCTAACAAAGTATCAGAGAAACAGATGGACTACAGTCTGTAACTGTAGAACTACAAAGTGCACCTATATAGTAAGTGGAGCTGATAAAATGGACAATGAGCATAGAAACAAGGAGGTGGTCATAATGTTATGCCTGATTGGTGTAGTTTACAATGATTTGTGGCTGCTTAAAATTTTGCATCTATTAAACAACAAAACTCATCTTTTCTGTCAGGCATGTCACTTTTTTAAAATTAAGTCTTTTTCACAGTGTAGTGAACATTTTGAACATGTAGGCCTGTAAAGAGAAGTACCTGAGTAGTGCAGTGGGCTGAGCCTTTGCTTATTTATCAGGAAATTGTGAGTTCAAATCCCATCAATGCCATAGCCATCTGCAGCGAATGATCCAAGAGTGTTAAACACCAACTCTCCCTGAGTTTCATGGCACTGTGCAACATTCCCATCCATCAGGGCAGTTTTTGTAATGGCCTGGTTTTTGTACTAATGTTTTTAAGTGGTGACTGACCTGATTCCTCAACTCACACGGACCCACACACACATATACATAACACCCACACGGACCCACACACACACATACATAACACCCACACGGACCCACACACACATATACATAACACCCATCTGGACCCACACGTACATATACATAACACCCACACGGACCCACACACACATATACATAACACCCACACGGACCCACACACACATATACATAACACCCATACGGACCCACACGCACACATACATAACACCCACACGGACCCACACACACGTAAAAATATGGGACTAACTCACTCCCCAGTTCTTGCATTTCCAAATTATGGAACAATGTAAAAATATAATTACTGTATTTCACTGAAACACTTAATTTGACATGACTGCAAATCTGAATACTTGCATTTTTTTGCACATTTGCACATTTTTTTCCACAGCAATATCTGACTTTGCATTTTTGCACATTTTATACTTCACTTTAAGATTGTTAGCTGCTAGAATTACTGTATCAACCAAATACTGCATAATGTATATTGCTGCTCTGGTTGCTACCTCAGTGACTGCTGTGCTCATATCTGCTAGGCTGCTAATATGTCATAGTGTGTTCCATCCTCCTTTGCACAGCTCCACATACTCTCAGTACTGTGTGCTGCCTGTGTTCTGTTCTGTATTCACTGTACGTCTTTTGTATTTCTTTATTGTACTGTACTGTCTGCACTGTGTTTATTGTATTGTTCTGCACTTGTGTTCCTGTGTTGGTCCTGGAGGAACGTTGTTTGGTTTCACTGTGTACTTGCATGGAGCTGAAATGACAATAAAGCCTGACTTGAATGTGGTGGGTCAGTTCTGGCAGTGGTGGTGTAAAGGTGGCTGAGATGTGGCCTTGTAATCGCACTAAACAGGCTGGGCTCTGGCAACCGTATCTGGCCCACTCCTGCGCCATCGTTCCAGGTGGTATGTGGGCCGCATCTAAATGTCGGATGTGGCCCAGGATTGTATCAAATGTGCTATCTGGGTCACCTGCATGAACTGACCTTTCTGGGGATACTGCTGCTGCTGCTGCTGCTGCACAGACTCAGTCTATTTAATTATAACCATCGCTTCACCTGGTTTACCCGTTTCTGTATATTAATATTTTATACTAATGCTGTTTGCTGTCTGGTGTCAATCAGAGGAGGTTCCCCTTTTGAGTCTTGGTTCCTCTCAAGGTTTCTTCCTCTTACTCTTAGGGAGTTTTTCCTGCCACTGTCGCCATTGGCGACGCTCATGGGGGCTCAGACCTGGATTTTTCCATAGAGCTGCTTTGTGACAACACCTATTGTAAAAAGTGCTATATAAATAACTTTGACTTGACTTGACACCTCAAGGCCGCTCACAGACACACAGCCAAACTACTCATCCACAATATAACACTTGTGAATAATTGTGAAAAATGTGAATAATTCTAGTTCAATTCATCTTTCACGTCTCCCACATGTTCTTTAACAAAGACAATGGTTCTCTATAGAACCATGAACGCTCAAAGAACCCTTTGCATGCTTAAATGGTTCTTTGCATGGCGAAGTGGTTCTTCGGATTGATGGAGAATGAGTTGTGTGTGGTTCTATGTAGAACCTTGTTGAAAATGGTTTTATGTAGCACCTAAAGGGTTCTGCTTTGTATACAAGCTTGACGTAGAATAGCAACAACAGCAGAACATCTTTTTGGTGCACACATTCTCAATCGATCTGAAGAACCATTTAACCACGCAAAGAACTCTAAAAAGAACCCCTTGCATGATTAAAGTGTTCTTTTGCGTGAAAAGGTTCTTGTATGTGTTGTCTGCTTCTGTTACAAACTCAAGCTTATAAGAATAGAAGAACCCTTTTTGGTGCTATGTAGAACCATTTTCTTCACTAATGAACCCTTGAAGAGCCATCTTTTTAAGTGTGCACACGTGATTAGCTCATAGTGCTTCACAGGGGTTAGAAGTTTATGACACAAACATTACAAAGAATTTTTAATGCAAAACAACATTTTATGCAAATGTCATTTTCTACAGAAACTCGTCTAAATCAGATGTTCTTTCCTCTTTTCAGACTGAAGTGAGAATGTTGGTCAACTTTTTCTCCTTTATAAACTCCGCAGGCTCCGCCCACTGTCGCTCTCCCGCTGCTGATTGGCTGGTCGCGTGTCTCCGCGGCGTTAATTGGTCCTGCGCTCCCTCAGCGCGAGCACTGCCGCTGCCGGTGGAACGATGGCTCGTGCACTCTGGGCGCTCTACTGCTGCAGCCTCGCGCTGCTGACGCTGCTGAATGGCGCGCGCGGAACGAGAGATGTCCGGAGACCGGTATATGGACCGGGACACGGACACAGACCTGGATACGGACCGGGACACGGACACAGACCTGGATACGGACCGGGACACGGACCAGCGACCAACTGGGGAGGTGAGGACTGTGAATGCAGTTACAGTGCGGATAGTGACCACAGTGTTACAGTACGGATAGTGACCACAGTGTTACAGTGTGGATAGAGACCACAGTGTTACAGTATGGATAGTGACCACAGTGTTACAGTGTGCATAGTGACCACAGTGTTACAGTGTGGATAGTGACCACAGTGTTACAGTGTTAGTGATGAGGATTATGCAAATAATTAATATGGAAGTAAAATGATGGTGATGATAATAAACCCATTTATTTTCAACTAAGTTTAATATGATGTAGAAAACTGATTTTGTTCTGATTGGTCTAAAATTGTGTTTTTTTTTGGGTGGTCATACTTTGGATTAGGGCTGAAAGATTCATCGTTTTATATCAAAATTGCAATTTGAAAAAAATGCCACTTGACAAAAAAATTAAAATTTTCAAATTGCAGGACTGCATTTTTGCAAATCATAGCCTACATCATCCAAATAAAAAAAAAATTGAAATTTAAGGTAATAACATTGAGCTTGTGAATTGCATGTAGATGAGTTAGACCAATCAGATGGAATCAAACCTCAATTTTTTGTGACATCACAACCACAACTTACTGGCAATCTGGCACACTATATTCAGGGTTTAAGCCTCAAGCCAGAAAAAGTGGATATTCTTGGCCAAAGAATTGTCTAAACCTAAATTTAGAGTAAATCAATTTAAATTTAAATTCACAATTTAATTTGCGTTTGCAATATTAGTCAGAAAAATCGCAATTAGATATTTTCCCCAAATCGTTCAGCCCTGCTGTGGATGCAGAGGTGGGTAGAGTAACTACACTCATAAAAAAGGGTGGTTCTTCAAGGGTTCTTTAGTAAAGGAGTTCTATATAGAAACATTGCATGCTTCAGTGGTTCTTTGCATGGTGAAATGGGTCTTCAAATTGATGAAGAACGTATTGTATGTAGAACCTTTTCTTAAACATGGTTCTATAAAGCACCAGAAAGGATTTGTATACAAGCTGGACATTGTAACAATAGAATAGAAGAACGCTTTTTGGTGCTATATAGAACACATTCTCAATATCTGCCCATTTCAGTCCCGCTCTTAACAAGCACTTGTCAGCTTGGTCTTGCTGTTTCCCCTGAAAATCCCTGACACCATCTGAAAGAGGAACTCCACTGATTGTTCAAGATTTTTGCATGACTAAATGTTTAAGATGTAAACAGAGTCATTCAGAGTGGTTTGGTGTGAAACGCTCTGTTCTAGAGAAACTTACCGAGTCAGAACTGTTCACAGTGGTGGTGATAGGAACCAGACGTCCACCTCTAAAAGCTCCCTCACAGAAAGTTACTACATGATATGGTTATGAATTCACTGCCTGATGACTGAGACACTGTTTTATGATAGTTTTTGTGACAAAGTTTTGATCTAAAATGTATTTTAATCAATTTATGGTGGAGGGATTTATGAAGGATGTTCTAAGGCAAAATAGTCCCCAAAGAAACGTATTATTTCAGATTTTCCACTATTTTCCATCATCAACATTCCATATAAACTCAGAAGACTCGTGTAGGTTCACTGGTGGTTTTGGATAGCAAATAAAATGTCTATATCTGTGTTGTAATCATGGTGACCCCTGATTCCTATCACCACCACTGTAAAAAAATCTGAGCAACTTCACACCAAACCACGCTGAATCTCTCTGTTTACATCTCACACACTGAATTATGCAGAAATTTTTGAAAGTTAGTGAAATTCCACTATTTTATTACTTTATAACCCTTAAGTGAAGTTAAATCGATGAGCCCTTGGAGTTGCTGAACTTGCCCAAAAGTCACTGAGACGTTTCCCCTTCAATCCTGAAAACAAAAGCCAACCAAAACTGTAACTAATCCACTGCAATAAAATACTTAATATTTTAAAACTAAAATAATTCGAGTTGCTGGGAAGTTGCTTTAGCTAGTTAGTAAACTACTCCATCTGTTATCCCTGACAGGGTCATTACTTTAGCTTGACTACAGCAATAAAAAATGCAGGCGATTCACTACAATTTTAAGTTCATATCCAGACCAAGCAATTATTCACAAAACGCATGTATAATATGTTCAGATGCCTCAAAAACATTCAGCATTACAAAATTTGCATGTGTAGCTGTTTAGCTCACCGCAGTTAGCTTATCTGAGGGCGAGTGCTGCTCACTGTCCCCTCCTCTCCTTCTGCTGCTAGTGAGCAATAACAGACGTGAACTTCAGAGTGGGAATCGAAGTTGAAATGTTAAAAAACTATTGAAATGAGCCACTGGATTTGGGCATCCCTGGATTAAGGGAATTAAACATTTTTCAGCTTTTTCTAAGACAGTGAGTGTATTTCACATGCATTTAATAATCTGAAAACTGCAGAAAATCAGATTGTGTCAATAACTGGTTTAGTGTGTTTACACTTAATAATCTGAAAACTGCAGAAAATCAGATTGTGTCAGTAAGTGGTTCTGTGTGTTTACACCTAATAATCTGATAACTGCAGAAAATCAGATTGTGTCAATTACTGGTTCTGTGTGTTTACACTGAAATATCTGATAACTGCAGAAAATCAGATTGTGTCAGTAACTGGTTCAGTGTGTTTACACTTAATAATCTGAAAACTGCAGAAAATCAGATTGTGTCAGTAACTGGTTCTGTGTGTTTACACCTAATAATCTGATAACTGCAGAAAATCAGATTGTGTCAATTACTGGTTCTGTGTGTTTACACTGAAATATCTGAAAACTGCAGAAAATCAGATTGTGTCAGTAACTGGTTCAGTGTGTTTACACCTAATAATCTGATAACGGCAAAAAATCAGATTGTGTCAGTAACTGGTTCTGTGTGTTTACACCTAATAATCTGATAACTGCAGAAAATCAGATTGTGTCAGTAACAGGTTCAGTGTGTTTACACCTAATAATCTGATAACTGCAGAAAATCAGATTGTGTCAGTAACAGGTTCAGTGTGTTTACACCTAATAATCTGATAACTGCAGAAAATCAGATTGTGTCAGTAACTGGTTCAGTGTGTTTACACTTAATAATCTGATAACTGCAGAAAATCAGATTGTGTCAGTAACTGGTTCAGTGTGTTTACACCTAATAATCTGATAACTGCAGAAAATCAGATTGTGTCAATTACTGGTTCTGTGTGTTTACACTGAAATATCTGATAACTGCAGAAAATCAGATTGTGTCAGTAACTGGTTCAGTGTGTTTACACCTAATAATCTGATAACGGCAGAAAATCAGATTGTGTAAGTAACTGGTTCTGTGTGTTTACACCTAATAATCTGATAACTGCAGAAAATCAGATTGTGTCAGTAACTGGTTCAGTGTGTTTACACCTAATAATCTGATAACTGCAGAAAATCAGATTGTGTCAGTAACTGGTTCAGTGTGTTTACACCTAATAATCTGATAACTGCAGAAAATCAGATTGTGTCAGTAACAGGTTCAGTGTGTTTACACACGCGGGTGCTGTGTTAAACGCTGCTCGCTGTGTCTGGGACAGTGCTTTGTTTTCACACATGCTCAGACTGAGACAAGCGAAAGAAATCAGAGTAAGAGTTTACATGCACTGATAAACCCCATTACTGAGCTCAAATCCAGCTGCTGTCTTATCCGATATTGGTCTTAATCTGATCTAAGAAATTTGAAAATACAGTTTACATGACTGCTTAAAAATCAGATAATAATAAAAATCAGATATTAAGTGCATGTAAGCGCACTGAATACTGGTGTTTCAGCTAGTCTTTCCTGGGGCATGAAATGATTGCTAATTGCTTATATACTGCTCCTGCAGTGATTAAATAGTCTCCAACAGCCGCGCTGTTATTTCCACTGTGAGACCTAAAGAACACAATGCTTGTGGTCTTATGATTCATTTGAGACTGTCTTACTACTCCTCACTTGTTTTAACGATGTAGGTAGTGATGTGTTTATCTGCTTCACTGCTCTCCTCCCTCTCAGGCGGAGGAACGCAGGGATAAGCTAGCACAGCCAGAATCCTAGCTATCAAACTAACAATGCAGAAATGATTTTATGCCAAAATTCTTTTGGGGAACACTTAAAAATGTTAATTCATACTTTTGGCAACAACTTGAGGATGTGGTGTTTAACTATGGGAGGTCATTTTGTGCCGTGTCCTTCTTTAGCAGGACGTATTTCACTAAAAAGCAGGACGCTAACTATTAAGCTAATAGATAAAGAACAGTGTTAGGCTACATATGTTTGCTGAACACAAATGATTCTTTGACAAGTGAACTCATCTCAGACCTTGTCAAAACATCAAGTACTTTTTTATTTTGAGATTGTTGTAAGACTATTATATGACTAATTAATTAACTTTTTAAATTAAATTAAATTAATTTGAATTAAATTAAATTAAATTTGTATGTTTTTAAAATAATTTTATTTTATGAAAGTGTTGCATCCTATTGGCAGATAGTGTTGATTGTTTCAAGCATTATTTCTTTTAAAAAGATAAATTATCTGCACAAACTACGCTCTCAGAAAGAGATATGTAGACCAGATATGAGATGATTTTACTTGCCAAGATATCTTTTTTTCTGCTAGAACATTAGTAATTCACATAAAACATAATCATAAATGAAAGCACTGCGGTTCTATGCCCTGTGGAAGCATATGGGAGGTAAATTTTGTGCCATATTTTACTTTAGAAGCACACATTCACATAAAAACACCAAAACTCAGAAAACTGGAAACAAAAAAGGGGAAAGAGTCTGTTTTGTTTTCTGTTATTATTCAAAATAACTGATTCTTCTTGTTTTCAGATCAAGAGGCTGTGGTAGGCGGATATTTAATTTTGGAAAAAAGTTGTGCATTTACTACTGAAAAAGTGCTCATTACACTCTTTTTATCCCAAGAAGCAGCATCTACAGAGCATGTGTTCAGAGAAATTTGTACTTTTTACACATTTTTTTAGGCTAAGTTATGAAATCATCACTGATTTTCTACACATCAGAGCAAATGTTGGGTTTGAAACACCCAAAATTGTTTTTCTTTTCAGAGTAAACTTAGAGATAACCAAACCTGACTGCACTGTAAACCTCTGTTTGACTGCAGGTTTGGTCAAGTGAAGAGCTGTTGATTCCTAATGTCGTCAGGAAATTTGATTGAGCATTTGAACAACTATAATCAATAGGAAATGATCTTTTCAGGCACGAGAAACACCTCGTATTGGGGCTTTGCTGTTCCTAATGCTTGTAGAAATGTAGGAATTCTCAGAGCCAATAAAAAACGAGCTAATGCTTTTGTCTTCAGCCTCTCTCTCCCACACGCTACACTGAATTGCAGCTGTGTCATCTTGCTTTAGACCACGAAAGTAACCTCAGCCTAAATCTTCAATCTTTCCCCCTCTTTTCTCTTTTGCTTTACCTTCTCTCTCTCTCTCTCTCTCTCTTTGTCTCTCTTTCAATATATATCTCTCTCTATCCTTACCTAACCATGCTAAGCTCATGGCATTAATCACAGGTTTTACGGTTACCACCACTACCACCATCGGCCGCCTTGGAAGTGGCCCCCCTTTACCCACCAGCGGCCTGTCTTACCAGCTCAGCCCAGGGTGCCTCCACATCCCAGAGTACCAATGGTGCCACCAAAGCTAAAGGTAGCCAAGCCTTGCACTACAATGCCCATTAGAGTACCCACTTTGGTCTTCACCACGGCAGTTCCCACAACAGTTCCCACAACAGTTTCCACCACGGTATCCACTACGGTAGCAACCACGGTACCCACTACAGTAGCAACCACGGTACCCACTACGGTAGCAACCACGGTACCCACTACAGTAGCAACCACAGCACCCACTACAGCAGCAACCACAGCACCCACTACAGCAGCAACCACGGTACCCACTACGGTAGCAACCACGGTACCCACTACGGTCTCAACCACGGAACTCACTGTGGGACCCACCATGGTTCCCACAATGGTACCCACCCTACCCGTGACAGTTCCAACCCAGCCTCCCACCACCCCACTGCCGGTCAGTACCCCAAGTGGCACACCTTCCCCTGCTGCACCTTCCACTGAGCCAGGTAGACCCGTCTTCAGCTTCTTTCCTCCAGACACGTCTTGCTGAGCATGCCAAGGGCCGTGGGAACTGTCGTCCTCACACAGCTCCACCTTTCACTGTCTGTTTCTAGGTGATTCAATGAGAGATTCTTTACATTATGCAGGCTTGTGGGGAACCTTTGAACCATACCACATGTTACTGATGAGATTACTCCACTAATGGCTGTCTTATCCACAGAAAATCTGCTTTTTCCATATTTAGCGCAGCTACCTGATTATGATCCACTGTCTTTTTTTACAGATTTACCTCGTCTGCCAATGGATTAATTGTGACTCTGTTTTCTGAAAAGCTTATTTACATTAATGGCACTTGCTAATTTTAACTCCATCCAAAGTTAAGCCTGTACCTGCATGCTAGCAGCTAATGGAGAATGCAATGATTTGACTAGATTACCTTCCTGACTGCTATTAGAGAATCAAGGTATTCAGTACTGATTGTGCCTACGCTAAAACATCCATATCCCATTAACTCTCCAACAGCTCCAGCGGAGGTGTGCAAGAGCCGCCCGCTGGACCTGATCTTTATCATCGACAGCTCACGCAGCGTCCGGCCTGCCGAGTTCGAGAAGGTCAAGGTCTTCCTTTCAGACATGGTCGACTCTCTGGAGATTGGACAGGATGCCACGCGAGTCGGCTTGGTCAACTACGCCAGCACAGTCAACATCGAGTTTCGCCTGAACACTTACCACAACAAGGCACAGCTCAAACAGGCCTTCTCTCGCATCGACCCCCTTTCGACCGGCACTATGACCGGCCTGGCCATCAAAACGACCATGGAGCAGGCCTTCACCGAGGGGTCCGGCGTCAGGCCCCAGAGCAAGAACATCGGAAAAGTGGCCATCATCGTGACAGATGGGCGACCCCAGGACAAGGTAGAGGATGTTTCGGCCGCTGCGAGAGCCTCTGGTATTGAGATCTATGCTGTCGGAGTGGACAGAGCAGATATGAAGTCTCTGAGGTTGATGGCCAGCCAGCCGCTGGACGACCACGTCTTCTACGTGGAGACCTATGGGGTCATCGAGAAACTCACCTCCAAGTTCAGGGAGACTCTTTGTGGTAAGAAAAAAGAACTAGAGGTGGGGACTTAAGCCTCCCTGACCACACAGAGCTAATTTGAACTCAACCCATCTGCGGATGCAGACTTTGAATCCTTTTTCGGTCCGACTTTATATGGATGGTTTTGCTGTAGATGATCTAAAGATGCTCAAATTACACACTGTCAGTAGCGTTAGGGTTAGGATTAAATTTTGAGTTGAGATAAAAGGGGCATTTCAGCCTAAAACTAGCATTTGTTGTCATGTTACGTGATATTGGGTAGCACAGCATTGCATCCCATGGCTTCATCAGTTGGACAGAATTCAAAATGATCCTTTTTGTGTTTTTTAGAAAAAAAAAAAACAGTACAGACCAGCATGAATTCTGTGCTGGTCTAAGCTGGTTTATGCTGGTTTAGCTGGTCACCTAGCATTGTCATGCTGGTTGACCAGCATACCAACATCCAAAACACAACATATGCTGGTCTTGTTGGTCTATGCTAGTTTTTCCAGTAAGGAAATATCTAGCACATATTACACAAATACATTGTGCATTGAACAAACACATTGAACAATTGGGAGTCCCCCACATAGCTATAAAGACCTCCCGACTGTTAGCATAGCCACAAAGAGGCTAATAAACACAGAAGTGATATACGGCTTCCTAGCAGTAGTGTTAGCTACTTGGCTGACTTATGCATTTGCCAGCTAGCAGGATAAAAACATTTCAAACAGCTGGCCCTCAGGTTTCCACCACAAAGCCCTCCCACCTTCAAGATACATCATCAGAAGGCAGCTTACCTAGTCTTTTCACTCTATAGACTGTTACGGCACCACTGTATGCATGTTACAGATGTGGTAATGGTTACATTTTTAGTTTTGGTCTGAGTGCCCCTTTAAGGTTAGGTTTAGAATGAGAGACATAGTTAGTTTGGCAAAAGTCAAAGTGATGTTAATAGACATTTAATTTAACAACAAAGGCATCTGAAGTGGACCATCCAGATAAAGTCGCATATGTTTTTCTATTAGGTCTATTATAAGGTCCCCTTGTTGAATGTACTGCACTAAGCTAATCAGTAGAGGTGAAATCAGTTTCAGTAGCATGATGAGTCTGACTGCATGAATAATGACTAGCTGTGTGTTTGCTAACCCTGCTAGTGGTGCTGTGGTGATTATCGTCTGTAGGTTGGGATGCATGTGCCCTCGGACACGACTGTGAGCACATTTGCGTGAACAGCAACGCCTCTTACTACTGCAAGTGCAGGGTGGGCTACGTCCTTAACCCGGACAAGAAAACATGCTCACAATCCAACGGTTGGTCATTCTACTCTGTTTGATGCATGTTAACAGTCTGGGTTTATGTAGTGAAGAACGTCATCTGTTTGCATGTGGAGAAACTTTCATAAAAGCCCAAATGTTCTCACTAACCACTGTGCAGTTTGTCCTGTTTCGGTCCCATTTTATTTGGATGGTTCCTTCTATCTGTCCAAAAGTTTGTAGACACCTGCTCATCCAGCATTTCTTCTGACATGAAGGGTGTTAATAGGGAGTCCCATTTTCGCTTCAGTAACAGCCTCTACTCTTCTGGGAAGGCTTTACACTAGATGTTGGAACATTGCTGTGAGGATTTGATTGAGGTCACGTGCTGATGTTGGATGGTCAGTTTTGGATCACTCCAACTCATCCCAAAGGTATTGGATGGAGCTCCATCACTCCAGAGAACACAGTTCCACTGCTCCACAGCCCAGTGCTGGGGTGCTTTATACCCCTCTAGCCCTAGTCTGACATTGGCATGGTGACCTTAGGCTCATGTGTGGCTCCTCGAGCATCCCATTCTATTGGTCAGTGCTTTCCTATGGAGATTATACAAGCAGTGTCAGCAATAGGTGACCTTAAAATAACTGAATGCACTAATTAGAAGGGCTGTCTGGATACTTTTGGACATAATGTATTTAGATACTTTGTTGAACCTACTTTAATGACATCATAAGCATCTGCAAAGTGTCTAAAGTGGACCATCTGAATACCCTGTTGCCATTTGATCATTTCCTTTAGTTTCATGAGTTCTAAGGTGAATTCTCAGCCCCCTTGTTGAATGTACTGCACTAAGCTAATCAGTAGAGGTGAAATCAGTTTCAGTAGCATGATGAGTCTGACTGCATGAATAATGACTAGCTGTGTGTTTGCTAACCCTGCTAGTGGTGCTGTGGTGATTATCGTCTGTAGGTTGGGATGCATGTGCCCTCGGACACGACTGTGAGCACATTTGCGTGAACAGCAACGCCTCTTACTACTGCAAGTGCAGGGTGGGCTACGTCCTTAACCCGGACAAGAAAACATGCTCACAATCCAACGGTTGGTCATTCTACTCTGTTTTAATGCATGTAACAGTCTGGGTTTATGTAGTGAAGAAAGTCATCTGTTTGCATGTGGAATGATTTGCATAAACCTTTAGGTTCTCGCTAACCAGTTAACTGGTTTGCACTGATTAACAAAGATTGCGACCTCCTACGCATGGGCCCTTGGGGAGCGTTCACTGGCGATGCCATTTGTGGCCCCAACTATTGTCCTTGTACATCGATGGCTAAGTTTACATGCAAAGATTTTTGCCAATCTGATTGAATACATTCTGATTAGACTGAGGTGTTTATATTCTCACTCTATTCAACAATCTGATGGAAATCTTCCTTTACATGCTCACTACAAATAATCCAAAATGACACGTATGCATGGAGTACATCACTTGAGTCCAGTCAGAGTGAGATGAGCAGCAGTGAGCAGTGCTTGTGTTTTTATTTGCTTTAAAATTATGTCAGACTCAGGAAAACGTCCTTCACATGTCCTTATTAAAGAATGCCGAGAGGAAGACGTCGTGTTCTGAGACACATAAGATGGACGTCCGTCCCACCGCCGTCTTTTAAAGACCAGAGCATAAACTTCGTCTCCTCTGCAGACCAGTTTCTGCTCCGCCATGTTGAACGGTATAAACTTTCACTATGACGTGACGAACATGGTCAGAACGGACTTAAACTTTGCGATAGGGAATGTAATCAGATACAGGCGTTTACAGGGATATTATTCTTCTATTTAACGGATTATTTACAGGATTACCCACCTCGATCAATCGGATAGAAACTGTATTCTGAATGGCCTCAATCAGACTAGTCCACTCCTTTTGAGGTGTTCACATGAACGTGTTCTATTCTGATTGAGCTATTAGTCGGATTATTAATGGATTATTAGGCTGCATGTAAACATAGCTACTCAGCATGATGCTAAAATAGCCACATTAGCAGTTAGCGCTCTTCTCCAAGCATGTTGAGCTGTCCAGTGACGCTGCATTGGCAGCAGGTTGAAAAGATGCGGTGGAGCCTCACGTCTCAGAGAAAGAACGTTCTAGCTATCACCCTCCCAGGATGCTAACATTGTGCGATGAGGCAGACGTGGCAAATTAGCAATGACTAAATTGTAGAGAAAAATAAGTTTTATGCTGAAGCCTGTTTGTGCCGTTCTGTTTGATACAGCTTTTGAAGGAAAATTCAACCATACACTACATTCTTAAAAAAGATGGTTCTTTAAGGGTTCTTTAGTATAAAAAAGGTTCTTTAAAAACCATGAACCTTTTGCATGATTAAAGCATTCTTCAGAATGTGCTGTAGATGGTACTATATAGAACCCAATTTTCAAAAAGGTTCTATATAACACTCAGAAATGTTCTTTGATTGTTACAAGCTTGACTCTGTAACAACAGAAAAACCCTTTGGGTGCTATATGGAATCCTTTTCAAAAATGTTATATATAGTACTCGTAACAATAGAAGAACCCTTGCGGGTGCTATATAGAACCCATTTTCAAAAAGGGTCTATACAGCACTCAAAATAGTTCTTCGATTGTTACAAGCCTGACACTGTTACAGTAGAAGAGCCCTTTTGGGTGCTGTATAGAACCCTTTTCAAAAAGGTTCTGTATAGTATTTGTACCAGTAGAAGAACCCTTGTTGGTACTATATAGAACCCTTTTCAAAAAGGTTCTGTATAGTACTCAAAAGGGTTCTTCTATTGTTACAAGCTTGACACTGTAGCAACAGAGGAACCCTAATTGGTGCTGTATAGAACCCTTTTCAGAAAGGTTCTATATAGCACTCAAAAAGGTTCTTCTAATGTTACAGGTTTGACATTGCAACATAGAAGAACCTTTTTGGGTGCTATATAGAACCCTTTTCAAAAAGGTTCTATATAGTACCATCTACAGCACATCCTGAAGAACCGTTTCATGATGCAAAGAACCCTTTAATCATGCAAAGAGTTTATAGAACCTTTTTTATACCAAAGAACCCTTAAAGAACCATCTTTTTAGTGTATGACTGACTGTGACAAGGCTTTGAGCAGCAGGCTTGAGGACTGATAGATATAATTTTGCTCCATATACATGATGTAACTGGACACACAGTTGGCCAGTTGGCTGATCAGTTACACCAGTCGCTGTTTTCTCCGCTCTTTCAGAGGAGGCACGCAGCGATGTGTCGGAGGACGCCTGCATGTGCGAAGCTCAGATCGCCTTCCAGAAGAAGGTCCACCACAATATAAAGGAGATAACCAGCAAACATATCCTTTCACATTACAGACGCATTGTATCTCACATAAATGGTGTCTTAATCAGAAATGACCAGATACGAACTCCGATGCACTTCGCTGAATTCATGTTATTCAAATGGTGTCCATGTACATATAGATTTATACAACAGTTAGTTCCGGCCATGCAAGCTGATTGGTTGAGAGGCGTTCTAACTGTGCTGTTATTTCACTATAACATCACGTTTTTTTCACAAACACTGTATCACTCCGCTAAAGCGCTGTTGCTAAGCAACGACTTTGACAGCTGTGGGAGACGCTCGAGCCATTTGAACGTTTTCACTTCTTACTTTGCCACAAACAGAAAATGGAAACTTTTAAGATCACATTTGACCGACAGCCGATTTGGTCAGACTCTGAAGATGAGACGACACTAAATTCCCAAACTGTCATCACCACTGAGCAGCTTTTCAGTCGGCAGCTGTGACAGAAGAACAGCTAAACAACCTGGAATCAGCCAGAAATGAACCCAATACCATTCGCCAAACGTGTAGTCTGATCTTCAGAGTCTGACCAAATCAGACTAAGCCATAAAACTGCCACAATAAAAAACAAAAAAGCTGCTCAGTGGTGATGACAGTTTGGGAATTTAGTGTAAGGAGCTGGAGAACGAACTGCCGGCTGAGCAGCGAGTGGGCGGAGCTCGTTACTCTGACGTAGCAACAAGCTGCTTGTTAATGAACTATAATTTGGTGAAGGAACTGCGAGCATTAAAACATATTAAACGCCGCGTTCACGGCCCAGTTTATTAATTTATTACTTTATTTATTTAACTGTTGTATAAAAGCATTAGAACACTTGAGGAGTGTGTTATCGCCAGTAACATCACGGCTGACGATCTAAGATGATCTAAGGATGATCTAAGGCGACCAAATCACAGCCGTGATGTTATTTCGTGATAACACACTCCCTCTCTTGTTTTATTGCTTAAATATATACACACACATGCTGGTTAGCTGCTTAGGGAAGGTAGCTTGCCAGTTGCTGACAAGCTGGCTGAATTTAGTTAAATTATTTAGCTATTTAACATTCCCTACACACTTAAAAAAGATAGTTCATGCTTAAATCGTTCTTTTTCATGATGAAATCGTTCTTCAGATTGATGGAGAGTGTGTTTTGTTTCTATAAAACACCAGAAATTAAAAAAAAATAAATAATGCATCTTTTTCTAAAAGGAGCAAATCTTCAGTGCACAATTTCTATTTATTTACTGGGTTTAACATATTGAGACAAAAAACATAAAATATAAAATGTGCTAAAACTTCTGCAAGTTCTGTTTTATTTTTATTTTCCCCCCAATACGTCAAATTCAGCAAACTGTGCATTAAAATGTGCAGAGGTGTGTTCTCTCTAGAGGATCAACGTCATTTGACCTGGGGTGCCCAAACTTTTGCACACGGCTGTATATATAAGATGTTTGATGACCTGTGTACAGAGTAGAGGACCTAAACACATCCTTCAGTAAACGTAATGTTACTTTGATGTCATAATGAGTCAAGTAAAAGTAAAAAAAGCATCTTTCACTCGTGCAAAAGTAGCAGCTCGAAATACTACTTAAGTACTGAGTAACTGACAGAACTGCAGTGAAACTTCTTAGTCCATCTGACAGCTTTAAGCAGAGGTACTGAAATTGGTTAGACTCTATTCTTCTCTATCTGGTCTTAAATAAAAAGGCAGTTGAATGTAACTAGTTACCCACCTCTAGCCTGTATAATGTTGAGTGATTTTAATAAAAGAGCTTTTTCCTTGACTGTTTTCACTGGATGATCTCACGAGAAGAGTTCAGCAATTCCGTCTTCGCTGAGTCCAGAACAGGAGCGGACCGCAGATGACACCTTTCACCAGTTTGAACCTGCTTACATGCCAACAAAATTTCTCCACACCACACAGCAGTCTTTCTGTTAGTTAAGCCTATTAGAGGGCCCTTTGTTTACCTGCATATGTGTTTCATATAAACTGTGTTCATTATATCAACACAAAGTGGCCAGTAGCTTATTTTATTTTTATATGAGGTAGCTTGTATAGTGTAGCCGACTCTTCTCAGTGTTTGAGAATGATTTATACTCTGTTATCAGAAAAACAGAAGTTGTTCCTGTAACCGTTTGGACCTTATTTTACTGCAGTATATCAATGCGGTGCTTGGACTTTTATTTTGTAAAAGATAAATAAAGTATATAACCTTATGAAGGTTTCTTTGAATGGGAAAAAAAATATTGTGTGTGTATCACAACTTGTATAATTTTGGATACTTTGTACAGATGTCTGTAAGACAATAAAAAAAGACCTTGGAAAACGTTTTCGGATCTTTATATCGGTACAAGAGGCTCTCATTTACAACATACAGTTGCTTGAGTTTGTTTACAGTAGAAATAGGCTGTGTCTCAAATGGCTCCCTACATAGTGCACTGCATAGGACAAGAAACTGTGGCTTCTACACTCAAACTGTGCACTGAATGTTAGCTAAGGAGCTGTGGAGCTCATAGCTAAATAAAAATGACTTTCGAGTAGATATATAATGCACTAGAAACCGTTATTTAATGCCCTACATAGCTAGTGCCCTACGTAGGGAGCAGGGATGCATATGAGACGCAGCCATAAGTCATAGTACTACGTCCTTGTAGGTTTCTTTAATGATAAAGAATACTAATAAACGGCACAGTTTGTTTGTTATATACTATATGTATCATATAGATGTGTAACTCATTTTTCATGTTTATGTCTATCTTTTTGTTTATAACATGAGTCTGCAGCCATGAGAGAGAGAGACGTCATTTCCTGTTGTCGGTTACCTAGAAACCAGGCAACGCAGCGACGCGGCGCTGAGAAAACGTTTTTGCTCTTTCAGGGAATAAAATGTGTTTTTCAGATGGTCTGAAATCAGTTTCAGCAAAGGTTTCGTCTCAGAAGAGGAGCACTGGGTGGTGAAGGGTTCTGTAGCTTTAAACCGGGAGGGGAAATCTCTTTTTTTCCTCCTGAAGCTGAGCTAACGCGGCTAACAGCGGCGATGTTTATTTACCTCAGCAAGAAGGTAAATAACGGGCTTAAAAGTCGTTTCATTTCGACTGAAAGTGAAATAATGTGGAAATAGTTAGTATTATTCGTCATTTAAGGTGGAACATCTGAACAAGAAGCTTCAGCCTCGTTTAGCTGGTTAGGGAAGGTCGCTTGCCAGTTGCTGACAAACTGGCTGAGTTTAGTTAGGTTAAGTTATTTTGCTGTTTAACGTTCACTACACTTAAAAAAGATAGCTCATCAGGGTTTCGTAGTAAAGGGAATGGTTCTGTTTAGAACCATGACTTCTATATAGAACCACTTGCATGCTTAAATGGTTCTCTGCATGGTGAAATGGTTGCTCAGATTGATGGAAAAAAAAAGTTATATTCTATTATTGTTCTGGTCCCCAAGCCTAACATCGTCACAATAGAAGAACCTTTTTGGTGCTTTACAGAACCACATACAACACATTCTTCATCAATCTGAAGAACCACTTCACCATGGAAATAACCATTTAAGCATGAAAATGGTTCTGTATAGAACTCATGGAACCATCTTGTGTAGAACCATGCTTAACTGGTTCTTTGCTTGGTGAAATGGTTCTTCAGATTGATGAAGAATGTGCTGTATATGGTTCTGTACAGCACCAAAAAGTTCTTCTGTTGTTATGATGTCAAACTTGTAACAATAGCAGAACCCCTTTCTCCATGCAGAGAACAATTTAAGCATGAATTAAGCATAAAATGGTTCTATGTAAAACTTATGGCTCTAAATAGAACCAATGCATTTATCAAAGTACCCCTGAAGAACCATATTTTTTAGTGTGTAGAACCATGCTTACATGGTTCTTTGCATGGTGAAATGGTTCTTCAGATTGGTGAAGAATGTGCTGTATGTGGTTCTATATAGCACCATGAAGTTCTTCTGTTTTTGCAATGTCAAGCTTGTAACAGTAGCAGAACCCCATTTTATTCTATATAGAACCATATACAAAATGTTCTCCATCAATCTGAAGAACCAGTTCACCATGCAAAGAACCAGTTAAGAATGCAAATGATTCTGTATAGAACTCATGGTTCCAAACAGAACCAGTGCATTTATCAAATAACCCTTGAAGAACCATTTTTAGTGTGGAACCATGGTTAAATGAGTCTTTGCATGGTGAACTTGTTCTTCAGATTGATGTAGAATGTGTTGTATGTGGTCCTATATAGCACCAAAAAGGGTTCTTCTGTTGTTACTATGTCAAGCTTGTTACAAAAGCAGAACCCCATTTTGGTGCTATATAGAACAATATACAAAACATTGTCCGGTTCACCATGCAAAGAACCATTTAAGCATGAAATGTTTCTATATAGAACTCATGGTTCCAAACGGAGCCAGTGCATTTATCAAATAACCCTTGAAGAACCATCTTTTCAGTGTGTAGAACCATGGTTGAATGGGTCTTTGCATGGTGAGCATGGTGAACTTGTTCTTCAGATTGATGGAGAATGTGTTCTATATAGCACCAAAAAGGGTTCTTCTGTTGTTACTATGTCAAGCTTGTTAAAAAAGCAGAACCCCATTTTGGTGCTATATAGAACCATATACAAAACATTCTCCATCAGTCTGAAGAACTGGTTCACCATGCAAAGAACCATTTAAACATGCAAATGGTTCTATATAGAACTCGTGGTTCTATGAACCATTCCCTTTACTAAGGAACCCCTGAAGAACCATCTTTGTTAAGTGTGTTCAACCATGCTGAAATGGTTCTGTTTATGGGGAAGGGTTCCTCTGTTGTTGCGATGTCAAGCTTGTAGCAATCACAGCCAGATTGATGCTATATAGAACCATATGCAACACGTTCTCCGTCAGTCTGACGAACGATTTCACCATGCAAAGAACCGTTTAAGCATGAAATGGTTCTATATAGAACTTATGGTTCTAAATAGAAGCATTGCCTTTGATTAAAAACCCTTAGTCATCTTTTTTAAGAGTGTATATAACATCAAATTCTTGTCAGTGTTTAGTTTGTCTAAACAAAACATGGTTGATTTACACCGATCAGCCATAACATTAGTCCATCTGTTTCTCTGATACTTTGTTAGCCCCCTTTGACCCTGTTCTTCAGTGGTCAGGACCCCCATGGACCCTCACAGAGCAGATACTATTAGGGTGGTGGATCATCTCAGCACTGCAGTAACACTGACGTGGTGGTGGTGTGTTAGTGTGTGTTGCGCTGGTCTGAGTGGATCAGACACAGCAGTGCTGCTGGAGTTTTTAAACACTGTGTCCACTCACTGTCCACTCTATTAGACACTCCTACCTTGTGGGTCCACCTTATAGATGTAAAGTCAGAGACGATAGCTCATCTGCTGCTGCACAGTTTGTGTTGGTCATCCTCTAGTCCTTCATCAGTGGTCACAGGACGCTGCCCACAGGACGCTGTTGGCTGGATATTTTTGGTTCTTAATCCAGCAGTGACACTGAGGTGTTTAAAACTCCAACAGCTCTGCTGTGTCTGATCCACTCGCACCAGCGCAACACACACTAACACACCACCACCACATCAGTGTTACTGCAGTGCTGAGAATGATCCACCACCCAAAGAGTACCTGCTCTGTAAGGGTCCATGGGGGTCCTGACCACTGAAGAACAGGGTAAAAGGGGGCTAACAAAGTATCAGAGAAACAGATGGACTACAGTCTGTAACTGTAGAACTACAAAGTGCACCTATATAGTAAGTGGAGCTGATAAAATGGACAATGAGCGTAGAAACAAGAAGGTGGTCATAATGTTATGCCTGATTGGTGTGTACATTACTATGGATTTGTTTCTACACCAGCTGGTAGGTAAAGGTGAATTTAATGAATGGGCATATGTTTTTATGTTTTTTTTCCCCAGATTGCCATTCCAAACAGCATCCGGCTGAAATGTGTTTCCTGGAACAAAAATCAGGGGTTCATTGCATGTGGAGGGGATGAGGGTCTCCTGAAGGTCCTGAAGTTAGAAACCCAAACAGGTGACGAAGGTTTTTCTAAGAGTTAGCACCTTAATGTCTGTGCATGCACTGGAGTTGCTGGATTACTTCTCATTATAAAAGCATGTTGTATAATATTATTTATGTAGTAATTACAGGCATAGTGAAAAAAAAGCCCTCTGTTGGCTTAGCAAACCTGAAATAGACCATTTTATCTGGTGACACAATAGTAGCAGGAACAAGTTAGTACAGAGTAAAATCTGTTTGCCTGTTTTTTTACACATTAGAGCTGGTGAAATGGAGCCACTGCACCATCTATTTGCACAATTTGTTAATCAAGCTTGAACAATCATTGCTGACCTGTTGGCATTTCCATATTCCAGATGATGCAAAGCTGAAAGGTCTTGCTGCTCCCAGTAACCTGTCCATGAATCAGACCCTTGAAGGACACAGTGGTAAGACAGCAAGCGTACAAAAGCACACATACACTATGTGTCCAGAAGCATTGCCAATATAATGGGACGCTGCAGAGCAGCTGCGCAGGTCACCATGCTCAATGCCGAGCAGCTGGAGGGGTATAAAGCCCCCCAGCATTGGGCTGTGGAGCAGTGGAACTGTGTTCTCTGGAGTGATGGAGCTCCATCCAGTACCTTTGGGTTGAGTTGGAGTGATCCAGAACTGACCATCCAGCATCAGTACCTGACCTCAGTAATGCTCAATCAAATCCTCACAGCAATGTTCCAACATCTAGTGCAAAGCCTTCCCAGAAGAGTAGAGGCTGTTACTGCAGCACAAACTCACTATTAACACCTTCACTTCAGAAGAATGAGCAGGTGTCTACAAACTTTTGGACATATAGTGTACTTTTCAGCTTAATACTTAACTTTGACTTTTTTGTGTTGGATGCTCTGCAGGTGCTGTGCAGGTAGTAACATGGAACGAGCAGTACCAAAAACTCACCACCAGTGACCAGAATGGCCTCATAATCGTCTGGATGCTCTACAAGGGTGGGTGTGCTTTTATGTCAAGCCTACAATGAAGCAGATTTAGGTCCAATCCCATTTCTTATTTTTACCCCTACCCCTTGTTTTCAAGTGTCATTTTGCCCCTTGGAACTGAGTCACAAGGGATAATGGTTGAAGTACTACCCTCCGAAATGGGACCCTCAAATAAAAAGAGCATTACTTCATTAACAGCTACCAGCGCTGCTCTGTAGGTGACCCTGCCAGTCTGCAGTGACAGCAGAGGAGGGTAAAGTTCAGCTCCTCACTGCTGGGCTTTAGTTACATTTAGGGAATCATATACCTCCAAAGGTGGGGGGGGCGATTATTTATTATCGCCCATCCCTAATTCTTCAGTGATATGAAGCTGAAGTCAGCTTTTCACCAGCTTCTTGTTTGAATTTTTCCGTTCCACCTTAAATGGAGCAAAAGCTCTGACACCTTAGGTGCCAGAATGTAACTGCTGCACCATTTAAGGTGGAACGGGAAATGTAGCTAGATAACTAACGAGACATCAGCATACCAGCTATTTTTTTTTCTTGTTATGAAAAAAGGACAATAATACATTGAAACAACATTAAACTAAGATAATACATTGGTTATTGTAATTTTAACAGAGAAAATTCTCACATTTGTGGGCTTCTTTGGTCTCTTGTTCAGCCATCATGACGGTTTTTCTTTTTTTCCTCATATCACTCTGTTTGGAGTCTCTGAAAAACCTCCATTTGGAGGGCCATGTAGCTCTAACACTTCGCCCCACCCCTCTATCTCAACAAAAATCGGGACACCCTACCCCTAGACGTTAACACACAAAACAGAGGAGTAGGGCTAAGTGGTAGGGGCGAGGGGAGAAATGGGATTGGGCCTTAGTATATGATGTACTGACCTGTCATTTGATCTTCACTGTATCTGTGCATGTGTTCTCCGTGCTGTGTGTTGAGCAGGTTCCTGGTACGAGGAGATGATTAATAACAGGAATAAGTCGGTGGTGAGGAGTATGAGCTGGAATGCAGATGGGGAGAAGATCTGCATTGTGTATGAAGATGGTGCTGTTATTGTGGGATCAGTGGACGGTGAGTTTACTCTGTTTTTACAGCATCTTATATCAATAATAGCAACAACAATACTGATGATAAAGATAGAAATTGTGATAATAAAATAAACCTCATTTATAGAGCACCTTTCCTATAAGTAGCAGCTCAAAGTGCTTGACAATCAAGTACGTACTGGATCTGCATAAAGACCTAACTGGGTAACTTTTTCAAAGAAGTGCCACAAAAGCGAACAAGACCAAGGCCCAATCCCATTTCACCCCTCGCCCCAACCACTTAGCCCCACTCCTCTGTTCTGTGCGTTCACGTCTAGGGGTAGGGTGTCCCGATTCTTGTTGAGATAGAGGGGTAGGGTGAAGTGTTAGCGGCTACATGGCCCTCCAAACAGAGGTTTTTCAGAGACTCCAAATGGAGAGATATGAGAAAAAAAGAAAAACTGGCAAGATGGAGAACAAGAGACAAAGAAACCCACAAATATGAGAATTTTCTCAGTTAAAAAATTATGATAACCACTATATCATCTTAGTTTAATGTTGTTTCAGTGTATTATGGTCCTTTTCTTCATAACAAGCATAAAAAATCACTAGTAGTAGCTGATGTCTCGGTAGCTAGCTAGGTACATTTCCCATTCCACCTTAAATGTTCGGACAAAAAGCTAATGAATGTCTGACTTCAGCTTCATATCACTGCAGAATTAGAGGTGGGTGATAATAAATAATTGCCCCCCTCTTTGAAGTCATATGATGTCCTAAATGTAACTGAAGCCCAGCAGTGAGGAGCTGAACTTGACCCTCCTCTGCTGTCACTGCAGACTGGCAGGGTCGCCTACAGAGCAGCGCTGGTAGCTGTTAATGAAGTGATGCTCTTTTTATTTGAGGGTCCCATTTCAGAGGGAAGATTTCAACCACTACCCTTTGTTACTCAGTTCCAAGGGGCAAAATGACACTCAAAAACAAGGGGTAGGGGTAAAAATAAGAAATGGGATTGGAATCTTTATTGAATTAGTCCTCTACAATCTGCAAACGACTGAGAAAAGCTGTCTCAGTCCATATACCACAGTCAGAAATCATATGAGAGTTCTTTCTTGTTCTGTTAAACACATTAATTAAAATGCAGTTTATTTTTCTTGACTAGTGGATCCCTATTCAGCTGCCTTTCTCTGATGATGACCTGTTCTGTTCTCCTGTTGCTGTAGGGAACAGAATCTGGGGGAAGGAGCTGAAGGGGATCCAGCTGGCTCATGTGGCCTGGTCTCCAGACAGTAAGATCCTGCTGTTTGGAATGGCCAATGGAGAGATCCACATCTACGATAACCAGGGCAACTTCATCGTGAGTACAAATAGCGTTATTTGCTTTCTAAGGAGAACAGATCTTTTGGTTGCATATAAGACTGTATGCTTTTTTATAGATCTTTAAGGTAACCTGTCCAGAGGTCTTCAAATCTCGACCTCATTCACCAACTGTTCTTAAGAATAAAATTTTATTTCTTAAAACCCACTTATGCAATTTTCATTAAGATTCTGTCATTTACCAATGTTTTTGGAACTGGATCACTGAGTCATTTTAAACTTTTACTCTCTAGCCACCTCCACTGTTTCACCTGATTTCTTACTATTATTGTCTTAGTTTCGTTATTTTATTATTTATTTATTTGTTTATTTATTATTATTCATATTCTTATTTTAATTATGATTATTTTATTATTATTTTAGTCATTTTAATTCATTTTTACTTTCCTTTTTGATCTTATACTCCTTTTGTTTTATTTATCTTCCTTTGATTTTATTTAACATTTACATTTTAGCTACGGTTTAATTATTGTTTTATATTTTCTACTGTATTTTTATGTATTTTTGTTTTTATGTTTCATTTTTTTTACACTTACCTGATTTGAGTAATTTTTTATTGAATTTACTTTTATTATTTGATAGATTCTTACACATTATCAATCCCTTTTCCTATATCAACTCTGCAGCATTGTAAATGAGTGTCACCCTCAATGTTCTCCAAGGTTAAATAAAGGTTGATTGAATCTGGTGCAGGTCTTTTCTTAGGACCTTTCTCAAGAATGAGTTGAAGAAAAAACTTAGGAAGATATTGGTGAATGAGGCCCATTGAATCCAGTTTCTGGTCCTGTATTTTGGAATCATTCGTAGACCTGTTGATAAAACTAACTGGCCTTCCTGTAACTGCAAAATCCAGGACTGGAAACTGTATCTGGAGATCTTTGCTGTACAGTGTGGTCTCTTTACCTTCTGTTCTTCCTTCTTTTTCTGCTTGATTTGCTGCGGTATTGTGATGAGTGTTTCTTTCCTTCAGATGAAGATGACTTTGCATTGCCTGATGAATGTGACTGGCCCTCTCAGCATTGCGGGGATCCACTGGTACGCAGGAACAGAAGGTTACATCGAGCCGGACTGCCCCTGCCTCGCTATCTGCTACGACAATGGCCGCTGCCAGGTCATGCGCTACGAGAACGATGACAGTGAGTGACGTGAGAAAAACTGATAGAAAGAAATGTGTTTTCTTTTTATATTGGATTTGCATCACACAAGGAACAATGGTTAGGTGAATATTTCCAAATGTTAGTAATAACAGTAAAAAGAGTAATAATGACAATAATAAGGTTTTGTTTATATAGTGTTTCAGGTCCAAAGTGGCATAAAACAAGAACAATAAAAAGTACAATTAAATACAGTACAAAAAAGAGACAACATAAAATAGTCACTGAGTGTGTTTACATGCACTTAATAATCCGATAACTGCAGAAAAACAGATTTTGTCAGTAATCCGATCAACACGTTTACATGCACTTGAGTAATCAGATAATGGGGAAACTCCAGGTCTACATGAGTCGGGCAGTAATCAGATTTCTGCTTTGCAACCAGCCAATAAACGTACAGAAGAAGACGTGACATAAACGTAATGTAAAACTCAAACTTCATGCTGCGGATTTTAAACATCGCGCCACTTTACCTGAAAACATGAACACACATCATCTAGAAGATGAAGAATATTTAAATCCTTCATTTTGTTGAGAATGTAGTTGGTTTCAGTGTCGCTCCAAAAGTGTTTTGCTGCGTCTCGCGGCGTCGCTGCTCACTTATTTCTGATAACGCCGTCTGTTCTCGCGCATGCACAGACTGAGAAATCCGAAAGAAATCAGAGTAAGAGTCTACATGCACTGAGAAATCTGATTACTGAGCTAAAATCCAGCCTCTTTATCAGATTTCTAGATCAGAGTACGATGTTTACATGACCATTTGAATAATCGGATAACTGCAGAAATCCGATTATGAACGGATTATTGAGTGCATGTAAAGGCACCCATTATTGTGAGAAGAACAAGCAAGTAGACGACCCAACAAATTTTGTATTCTGTTCACTGCATGCATGGAGGATTTTGATCTCTTCGCTACTTCTGTCTGTGTGCAGATCCGGTGGTAATCGAGACGGGTATGAATGTTGCCAGTATACAGTGGAACCACTGCGGGAGTGTTCTTGCTATAGCAGGATCTCTCAGGAGCGCCACAGGAGATAAAGATCTGAATGTTTTAAACTTCTACACACCGTTTGGAGAGGTGAGGACTAAATTCTAAATCCAAAAAGTGACGTATAGCGCAATGTTGGTGTGGCTCATTTGGCTAAGCACATTGGGTTTGAAGTGAAACAGTGGGCAGAATGTGTATAAAATAGCCATGACTTCTATGGACCATTCAGTAGTCATCGGTAGTCATTTGAAGTCATCAGCATTGTTTCATTCGTGCACTAGGCGGGCACATTTCAGACATTTTTAAGCCAGGTCTCCTCATTCACATGATGCTGCCAAGCTGGGAGGGTGAAGCCCAGTGCTTGTTTTCTCTGAGGTCCTTGAATCTCCAGCGCATCTTTTCAAACTGTCACTAATGCAGCTCAACACTAACTGCTAATTCTGTGACGTCAGCTAACAGATGCCTGCGTTGGCGAGCATCACACTGAGCGATGGGAGGAGAGAGAGGGCTGACCTCCCCACCCAGAGAGAGAGAGAGAGAGGACAGTTATGCTCTCTTGGACTCCCAGCCATGGAGAACATACACTTTCTCAAACATATAGTATATGAATACCTCAATGAGGAAAATATTGCTCTGAATAAATAAAAAACACAGACAGTTTAATGTTTATTCTGTGAAACCAGCATAAAAAGTCATCTGTGCTCGACCATTTGGTTAAATTAATGATTTATCCTTGCATTTAAGACGTGTGATTTAACACACCATCAGTTTACCTACTGAGTGATATCTTACTAACTTTATACTATACAAATTTCTCATCTTTTTCTTAAAAAAAATTCCATATACAACTTTGTTTAGATGTGGTTGCTTGGCTGGATGTGTAGTGCAAAGTGTCCATATATTTTCTGTGGTTCTGCATCGTATGTTGGGTAAAACTGTCTAAAAATGACTTATAATACCCAGTTTAGTTCTTGAAAATATTCCATGCTCGTCCCTAATTTGCAGTGTATATGATGTTGCACCAATGAGCATATTACAGTTTTTTCTTGATTTTTCTCTGGTCTTGTGTCCAGCACCTCCGCACCCTGAAGGTTCCTGGTAAACAGATCACCGCTGTTTCGTGGGAGGGTGGAGGACTGAGGATTGGCCTAGCTGTAGATTCCTTCATTTACTTCGCCAACATCAGACCTGATTACAAGGTAATATCCAAAGCACCTCTAGAGGAGTAGTCTCGCCAGGCTGGTCAGGAAACTGTGAGGGGAATTCGGCTTAAATGTGAGTGGGAGCGTAGACTTATTAGGGTGGGAACAAACTGAGTTTTATACATCTAATTCAGTCCAGCACTTGAGAAGGGAGAGATGGAGTGTCGGCGATGGCACACTTGTCATAATGATCTGTCCAATGTAAGCTAGAAAGTGGGACCTTTCAGCCATGCTAGCTTTAAAAAATAGACTGAAAATGTATCAGTTCAACTGCGCCTTTTACACAAATTAAGCTTCTGTCAGCACTTTTTTGTGCACTTTACTGAAGGTAAAGACTAAACATGGAGAAGCAGTGTTTAGCTACTATGCTGCTCTTAAAGGTATTGACAGAGAGCATTCGAAGAGCCCCGAACACTAGACACTTTTAAATTGAGGCTTAAAACATTCCTATTTGAGCAGCTTTCAGTGCAGTTTAAACATTGTTAGCTCTACTTGCACTTTTCTCCTGTAAGGGCACCCTAATTACATTTTTTATTTTTTATTAAGCTTTAATGATCATAATCTAATTTCTAATTTGATTTTCATTTTAATGATTTTCTCTATCAAATCTATTGTCTTAAAAATGTTTTAATCATGTTTTTAATTTCTATTCTCTTTTACTTTTTTATTTTTTTCATTGAGAAAGCACTTTGAGTGACAGCAATGTATTAAAGGTGCTATATAAATAAGCTTGCCTTGCCTACAGAGTAAAAAAAGCAATAAGACACTTGAAGTGGTGAATAATACATAATTACATATATTCTCCACAGTCCAGTCCCTCACGAGTTCTGTTGCTTAATTCATCTGTTACTTAATTCAGGCGTTTCTGTGACCTCTTCCTTGGTAAATTAAAGAACGACAGAGTGAATGGCTCTGTATACATTCTGGATGTTTTTGTCTTGAGACTTGCAGCACCAGTGACTAGCTGTGTGGAAATGCTCATAAGCAGATTGAGACGTAGCTGAAAAGGAAGTACGATAAGGTCTTTATCTCACTAATCGCAATACATTAGTGCTGTTCTCTGGTCTTGGACCCACTAAGCTTTTATACCAAGAATCTGAATGCAACGTGAAGGAAGTTTAATCATCAGAAGTATGTTATCCAATGTGCAAATCCAGAGAGAAGCTCTTTGTTTTAGTCCATTGTAGGGCTGTCACTAGTTGTTCTTATTACTGTATTGATTATATTAGTATTGAATAGTCTTCTGATTATTTTGACAATAAATCGAGTATTCAGAAAACAAAAATGGACTGAATAATAACACACCATGGTGAGCATTTTAAAGATTCAGAATACTGTATTGGAAAAATATGAACTAGAAAGTCTTTTAAAATGAAACACAAGGCCGGCCTGTCTTGTCACACTGAAGCACAACATTGCTGTGCAGTGATTTTTCCTTCATCTGATGGTCACATTCCATCTGTTCCCATGAGGATTTGTGAAAGCACTTGGGATTTTAAAGAGATTTTAACTCTATATCCCCCATGGCACATGCGCCCTAAAACCCTCCATTTACATTTTGTTCTTTCTCACTTGTAGTTTATTGAAACAAGTGGAGAAATAGTGTGGAAAGTGTAGATTCTAACCTGTCAATCAATGCCACATTTGCGCTTGTACACTGTTAGAAATCAAGATCCAAACAACGTAAATGTTCCCTCAAAGGTTCAACAGTGGTTTTAAGGTCTGATTGTGAACCTTAAATAAGTTTTTCCAGGTGAAAAGTTTGTATTTGTACCTTTTTATAACCGAATGTTTTAAAACAGAACAGTAAAATAAAGTCCTGGAGACGAGACGGGGTGTGTGGAGTCAGTACAGCTTAGAACATATCATTTCAGTGGATTATGGTTCAGTTATGTTCCCTGACTAAAACTACTGAGATGAACCCTTGAGGGCTCCACCCCAGTGACAAGAGGGGCACTGCCCCAGTGACGGTTTCGTACCTTTATTTCTGAGAGTGTAAAGAGAAGAGGAGAAGTTTTATTATGAGTTGAATTGATGAAAACTTACTCATGTTTTGCAGAAAGGAAAACAATCCTTTACAGTTTTGCATTGTTTCTTTTTAAGCAAACAGGCTTAAATCAGTCAATACAGAATGTAAATCGAATGTAAATGTATTACTTATACGTATATGCTAGCTATATTAATAATAATGTAATTATGTATAATTAATTATGTAATATAATAAGATCACTGTAATAATTATACCCTTCTAAGAATTAACCCCACTTACTTGCAGTCAGTTGTGTGTACGCTGTCTTATAACATGCCTGTAGAAGACCAACTAGCTGCAATCATACAAAAGAAAAAAAGAAGAGTCTAAAGCCTGGAGGCCAGAGGTCAGTGCGAAAAATAAGGACATCTGAACAAGCTCAACACTGAACAGGACGTAGTGCTCAAATATTTACCCCACAGTTTGTTTGGTATGAAAATGAGCAGGGCATCACTGTTTGTTCCTACCTGCGAAAAAAGGAAATCACATTCCAGTCAACAGTGTGATGCAGCCTGTGTAATCTTTGCCCATGTTTATTTTTTTCTCTATCCATCTTTTCTTTATCATCTGAGTTTTTGTATATGTCTTATTTCATTTCTACTGATGGCAAATTTGAATAAATAGTCTTTCAATCAGTAATCGAAAGATTAGGCATTGACTAAAAAGAGACTATTGATTTCTCTCACAAACAGGTAATATAGGACAGAGAATAGGCTACAGGCTGTGGCCATGGAAAATTCTAGCTGTAGTGAACATGGAAAGTCGTATAAGATGACTTTATAGGGACAGGACGGCCTGGTATGAGCAGGATGAGACTGTTTTTTTTTTTTAAATGATATTATATACATTTTGATTTAAGGGTGAGCAAGATAGGTAGAGAATTTGAGTACAATGGGGACTAAAATGGAGAGGAAAATTGGTAAAAAGGGTAAAGTGATCGTAAAAAGGGTTGTTCTGAAGCTGTCTGTGCACAAATAAAGCAGGGGCCTTTTCCTTTTTTCGACCGAGCTCAGCATTCGAAGTCTTTTTTGATTCTTTTTCAGAACTAAGGATTAAGATAGTTATTAGTATAAGTGTACAGTAAGAGTTAGAGATTCAACTATATGTCCAGGCCTTGAGCTGTAGGAAAAGCTCTGGATGCCAATTACCTACCCTAAAAGAAGTTAAGCAGCCAAGACAGGTCCAGTGTAGTGTTATTTGGTTTGCACTGGATCTACAAAGCTAATGTAGCTATCAGTGATAGAAGCTTATACCCCACCAAACCACATAAGCTAGTCTGTTTGAGATATGCCATGTATCCAAATGTATCCAGATAGCCCTTGTAATGAGTGAACTCAGCTACTATAAGGTGCGCATGTTGCTGATATAGATGTTCAGTTGCGCTCACACAACTTATATAATCTCTGACCAATAGAATAAGATGCTGTAGAGCAGCTACATATGAGCCTAAGGTCACAGAGCATGGGCTAGAGGGGTATAAAGCCCCCCAGCATTGGGCTGTGGGAGCGGTGTAACTGTGTTCTCTGGAGTGATGGAGCTCCATCCAGTACCTTTGGGATGAGTTGGAGTGATCCAGAACTGACCATCCAGCATCAGTACCTGACCTCACTAATGCTCAATCAAATCCTCACAGCAATGTTCCAACATCTAGTGTAAAGCCTTCTCAGAAGAGTAGAGGCTGTTACTGCATTACAGAAGATGTGCTGATACTAAGGCTGTTTATAACTACAACTTTTGATTTGAGTGTCATTGAAACTACATTGTGCAAATAATTGTGGGCTCATTCCTCAAGTTGTACCAGCTATTTATTATTATCATTATTTTAAATTAAATAACATTTCTGTCCTTCTCTCTTTTTCTCTCTTTATAGTGGGGTTACTGTTCGAATACAGTGGTGTATGCGTACACCCGACCGGACAGGATGGAGTACAGTGTGGTCTTCTGGGACACAAAAAACAACGAGAAGTTTGTGAAGTATGTGAAGAGCCTGATGTCGGTCACCACATGCGGAGATTTCTGCATCCTGGCCACCAAAGCTGATGACTCCCACCCACAGGTACACATACATCTCCTGTTCTGCTGGCTTTCTGCCAGAGGTCATCACAACTGGTTAGTTAGAAATTGAATACAAAACAAAATATACAGTCTGAAAGGTTATGAGGTTTGGACCTCTCAAAAATTGTATGTGAATTAGCAACACACTTTTTTGTGTTATCTATTTTAACAAACCTTGGGTCAAATTGTTTGAATGTGTATTAAAAATAAAACATCTGTGTGTCCCATTAAGGACACTCTGTCTATGTTAACATGCGTGCAGAAGCCAAACTGAGGTATTAGTCTAAGAAACTACACCGACATAGGATGTTTGCAAGAGCTGTGTGAAAGACTAGTCCATGTGTGATCCTGTTTACGTGCACAGCAGCCGTGTCTCACTTTATAACGGTAAACACCCCCCTTCATTACACACCTCAGTTCTTCCTCACATGAATTTCCCACTGTTAAATATCTAATTGATGTCTGTTTTGGACAAATGATTAACGTGAAGGATGCTCTCTCTCTCTCCGCAAAGGTCTGAGCCATTTCGCATTTTGTGACTTGTGTTTGTTTTGGTGTCAAAAATATGACGGCGTTTTAGGGCCACTGTTAATAAAAATAAAAATAGTAGATTTCGAGAATAAAGTCGTAACATTTCGAGAATAATGTTGTACTATTTTGAGAAAAAAGTCATACGGTATGACATTTCAAGAATAAAGTCGTAATATTTCGAGAAAAAACTCGTAAGTGATCAAAGCCTTTATATGTTTAAATCTATCTCGAATAGTCCAGCCAATAACAGCTCAGGCTAAGCCTAGGGCAGCCAAGATCTCAGTCATACCATGGCAGTCAAACTGTCCTGTTTACAAGAACATTATCTTAGACTGTCAGTCTTAGACTAATATTGTAGCGTACGTACCTGTCTACCTTTGGAGATGCTTTTGCACGCTTTGATCACAGTAATTGTCCAAAAGCAGGTTATTAGTCATAAATTTACAAGCATCCCTTACAAAAAGAAGTTTATGGTAGTGTGCTTTTACTATGCTTCATTTAAACTAAAAACAAGCGAGTATGCTTTCAGTATACTGTTATGTACTTATCAGAGATATACTAACCAAAATTATACTTCAGTATACTAGGCTTTTACCTACAAATATACAGAAAAGTTTAGGTATATTCAAATAAAGTATATTAAGTAACAGTGTGGCATGGTGGCACAAGGGGCAGTACTGAGACCTTGCTGTAAGAAGGGCCTGGGTTCGATTCCCCGGCTGGGTGACCAGGGTCATTTCTGTGTAGAGTTTTCTTCCCACAGTCCAAAGACATTCAGTCAGGCCAGGGGTTTTATATATAAGCTTACTTGTGGTACACTTCAGAGTATACTTTTATAAACTAAAAGTGGGCCAATTTAGTCCCAAGAAGTACTGAAATAGTACACTTACAAGTAAACTACTAGTCCACTGATATTTGTATACTTATTGCATAAAGTATACTTGGGAAATACACTTGAACTTTACTTAAGTTTACTTAATAAAATGAACTTTATGTATATTTTTTTGCAAGGGATGTGATACCTGATGAATAAGAAGTCATAGGTATAAACAGTTAAATGTAAACTGTAAAGGTTAAATGGTAAATTTAGATGTTTTTGAATAATGATGTGTTAGTAAACTATTCTCATACTTGTTGGGCTTCACTCCCAGGAGGATGCAGACCCGGAGGCTGGAGCAGCAACGGTAAGAACACACCAGCTTTTGTGTATTTGTCTGTTTATGTAACACATGCTGGCATTAACACAGGGTCTGAAGGTTAAGGGTCAAAAGGTTGGGCCTCCTTTTACCACAAAATGAGAAAGCAGATCAACCAGCTCAGATGGGACCGCATTAGAGACAGGAAGGTATTCTTGTAAGAGCAGATTGAGGTAGTCGTTCATTCTTTATGAAGGGGAAAAAGCAGATTACAGGAGAATAATGATTGAAGTAACTCTGTTCTGCAGTAATAGAAGAATACAAATAAATATAATTATCTGACTGAGTGATTTCAAACCCTTTGAGACAGGAAATGATCTCAAATGTTCAAACAGGACCATCATAGGGAGGACAGCAAGTTATCACTCTAACAGCAAGTCCACATTCAAAATGAAACATGATACGTTATTTAGATAAATGGCTCATCTTTTCATATTACACCAGATGTGAAGTTTGAGATTAAATGCTTTTGCTGCAGGGAGTGATGTACAGTTTGAACATCGTAGGATATAAGAACAGGGACTTAAAGGTACCACTTGAGCTGAAGAGTCAAGTCGGGCACCTTAAAACACTGTTTATATGTGCGACTTCATGCTCATATTTAGTGACAATGAAAAATGAAGGGAAAGCTTTATTATATCACCACAGGGTGAGATACCTGCTGATCTACAAAGCCAAATCGACTGGCTGTGGGAACTCGAGGTATTATAGAATTCTTCTGTTGAGATCATCTGTCCATTTTTAGGAAGGTAAAGTCAGATCAGAGAGTATTTTTTAAGGGTCAGATTGAACCGTTTTACTGCAGGGTCTAGATGAGGAACTGCAGGAGCTCAGAAAGATCTTCTGTAATCAAATCCAAGACTTTCAGAATCATTTACAGGACAAGCGCAGAGCGAGAAAGGTATTAGCAGCAGCTTGAGATGTTTATCCGAGATAGAAAGTCTATGGAAATGTTAATAAATAGCTGGAGTGAGCTAAAATGCTGTGTATGTTTTTATTTCTGCAGTATGTGTTGGTGCTGTGTAACTCCATTGGGACTCCCCTGGACTCTAAATACATTGACCTTGGTAGGTGAAACTGTCCGTAGCATAGGAAATACTTTTTTCTGTTTCATTATATGTATTTGTAATATTGCACCAAGTTGGTGTTAGGTCTGTACCAGCAGAAAATGATGGATTTGCCCAACTGATCATTTGCAATTTGAGCAATAGAACACGAGAGGGACTGTGTTATCGTGAAATAACATCACAATAAGTGATAACACACTCCTCGAGTGTTCTTTTGCTTTTATACAACAGTTAAATAAATAAAGTAATAAATTAATAAACTGGGCCGTGAACGCGGCGTTTAATATGTTTTAATGTTCGCAGTTCCTTCACCAAATTATCGTTCATTAACAAGCAGCTTGTTGCTACGTCAGAGTAACGAGCTCCGCCCACTCGCTGCACAGCCGGCAGTTCGTTCTTCAGCTCCTTACACTAAATCCCAAACTGTCATCACCACTGAGCAGCTTTTCAGTCGGCAGCTGTGACAGAAGAACAGCTAAACAACCTGGAATCAGCCAGAAATGAACAGAATACCATTTGCCAAACGTGTAGTCTGATCTTCAGAGTCTGACCAAATCGGACTGAGCCATAAAACTGACCCAATATCAAGTTTAGCTCAGTTTTGTCAGTTTTTGCCAGATCAGTATTAATGTTGTTTTGTTCCAGCCAGTCTGTAAAGCATCTTACAGCCCATTTAGTTTGGCGAATGGTGTTGGGTTCATTTCTGGCTGATTCCAGGTTGTTTCAGCTGTTCTTCTGTCACAGCTGCCGACTGAAAAGCTGCTCAGTGGTGATGACAATTTGGGAATTTAGTGTCGTCTCATCTTCAGAGTCGGACCAAATCGGCTGTCGGTCAAATGTGACCTTAAAAGTGTCCATTTTCTGTTTGTGGCAAAGTAAGAATATCAAAACGTTCAAATGTCTTGAGCGTCTCCTACAGCTGTCAAAGTTGTTGCTTAGCAATGGCGTCTCAGCGGAGTGATACAGTGTTTGTGAAAAAACGTGATGTTATGGCAAAATCTCAACCAATCAGCTTGCGTGGCCGGAACTAACTGTTGTATAAATTTTGATAAAGTAGCTTTCTATCATTTGAGGAATATCACTAAAGTTCTGCCTTTTCTCTCTCAGAGCGACTCAGAGAAACTTGTTCATGCAGTTGTTACACGCAGAGTTGAGCACTGTAATGATCTTCTTAATGAACTTCTTAAGAAAACAGTACATCCTTTACAACTCGTACAAAATACAGCAGCATCCTAACAGAAACAACACAGAGAGATCAGATCAGTCCCGTTTTAAAAGAGCTGCACTGGCTGCCTGTATCGTTCAGGATAGATTGTAAAGTTCTACTACTAGTTTTTAAAGCTCTGAATAACCTTAAAGCTCCACTTACTCCGACCTTCTGCAAACAACTTCTGTAAAATACAGAAAACGTGGAGAGACTCTTTCAGTTATTCTGCTTCTAAACTGTGGAGCTCAGTTCACCTTTTAATAGACAGTCAAGCTCAGTGCTCAGTTTTAAGAAGCATCTGAAAATGCAGCTCTTTAACTCAGCGTTTAATTAAAACCCTATGTCTAGTGGTGTTTATCTTTTAATCTGATCTGTGTATATGATTAATACTTATAATTCCTTGCATTACTGTCTGTAAAGCACTTTGAGCTGCCACTGGCATGAAAAGTGCTATATAAATAAAAATGATTATTATTATTTATTATTAAAGTCCTGCCTTCCTTAGTTATTGTTGCTATGTCTGTCAAACTTTCATCTGATGCTACCTGCTAGCGTCCATAACACACCATAACACATTTAGCAGCGGGAGAGATCAGAGGCACGGAAGACTTTATTGGCTCCTGTCTTCGTTTGTTTGCATACTGGACGTGTCTGGACGTGTTGTGCTTACCGTCTTTGTGTTGCCTTTCCCTCTAGACTTCCCTTCAGACTGAATCGCTTAGGCTCATTATTGTTGGCTTTAAGAGTACATTAGCACGTTCTCTATTGAGTGTGGTTCTAAATGGACTGGTCACTACTAGTGACCACTTTTAAACAAACTCTAGTAAGATAAGTTGGACCAACATAAGTTAAATCAACTTCAACAACCCTGAGTTGAGTTTGAAATGTGATATCTTATTAAGCTTAGCCAATTTTAGTCAATTATATAAAAGGATTGTGTGGAAATCCTTGCCACAATTCAGTGAAGTTCGTGTAAAGAATGCTTTGTGAGTGAAGAAACACCTTCTCACATGAAAACGAATTAAAGTCTGTTCTCATTGCCTTCTCTCTTGTGGATCTGAGCGTGTGAGCTATCTCCAGTAGTGTCCTGAGCCAGTGTTCCCACTCTCTCCCCTCTCTCTGACTGAGTTCACACTGATCTCTTACAGGCATCCTGCTAAATTCCTCTCCCTGCCCTCAGTCTACATCTGTGTGAAGGTCCTTAGGTTTACTGAGCTCTGCTCTGGAGTAGCTGTCAGTGACAGGAGAGCAGAAAGCAGGAGAGGATACCGCATCCACAGGGAGAGACAGTGTTTGCTTGTCAGGTTGATTTATGCTTGGAGTCTGTGGGTTCCCCACAGCTGAACAAAGTCGTGTCTGACTCAGTATGTGCTTCAGCCTTATGCTAACTTTACACTAAAAGACTTTGAAAAGACTTTTGAAAGACTAAAGTCTGACACCCTCTCACATCCAAAGACAGTGTCACGGTTTTTAGTCACAGACTATGATTTTGCAAAGACTGGGAATCTTGCAGTGTCACTATTTACAAGACTGCAACTAGATTTTTGAGATTATTTGAGATTATTCCCCATCATGCACCTGGTGGAAATGTACAAGCAGATAAACACTTTTCCTTCCACTCTATGGTGGCACAGATGGGAAGATACGTTGGCTGAGCATGTAAAGATCTGGAGCTCAGCCCAGTTCGCTGTAGAATGTAGTATATTCTGGCAGATCATCACCCAGATTTTCTTTAATTCACCTGTAAAATGTGCAGTTACTTTTTAAATTTCATATAAAGATTTAAACATCAACAAATCATGCAGCGATTCAGCATTGGTAATTGGGTGTTATGAACTAAATCATAAAAACAAACGAAATAAAAAAACAGAAAACAGAAAGCAAAAAAAAACAAAAAACAAAAAACAAAAAAAACGATGATTCTTCAATAATGCTATTCTTAAAGTCCTCTGCACGTTTCCTTACATCCCTGTTACACTCAGTGAACCTGAAATATTTAAGCAGCCAGTTTACATTTTAAGTTAATATGATTATTGTATTAAAGTGGGGTTTTACAGAGATTTCAGGCTCTCACGCACTCTGGCACGTCACTATTTGCATGAGTCAAGACTTAAAACTTACGATAATATTAAACACGGTTGATTTTGTCGCAGCGTCGAGACGAGAAAAAGACTGACCTAAATCAGCCATCCTGACCACCTCACACTGAAACGATCGAGACGACGTGAGCGCAACATTTTATTCCGACATTGGATATTTGTCTGCGACAGTGAAATCGCTTGAAAAGTCGTTTGGTGTAAGGCCGGCATTAGTTTCTAACCACTGTTTCGTTCATTTGTACAAGAACATACCCATGAAGTCATGTTTTATAGGCAATAATGATTATATATTAAAGGGATTGCTCATCAGTTAACTCAGTTTACCTTGACACCCCAAATGCAGTCACGCTGCCACGCTGCATCTGAAATTTGCTTCTTTGTTTTGCACTGGTGCTACGAGTCTAATGTAGCTTACAATTAATAAAACCAATTAGCATGATGCTAACTGCATGCCTAAATCATCACACAGTTGCCTGAAATCATGGCAGGTTGTTAGGTGATCTCTAATAGACTTGCTGCTGTGGTTTGTGATACTGTTATTTATAGCAGTCCATTTGTCCAATTTTAGATATAACAATATTTTCTGTCATGCAGGTCTGTATTAACATTAGTGTTAATTTGGTTTCATGGTTTGCTTTAACCATGCCTGGTCTTTGCTACACTGAAAAAAGTGATGCTTTTAGTTCGTCATTAACATGTTCATTGCGACCAGTAAGTAAACTGAAAGGCAAAACTGCTTTTTAGTGCTGTCAAATGATTCAAATAATTAATTTTGTGTGGTTAATTCTGATTAATCTCATTTGTTTTTATTTACTCAAATTTAACCTTAAAGCTATTTGAGTGGAAACTGTATAGTTTCAATTTTGCCATTGGTTTTAGTTGTTGATTTATCCATAGTTCTCTCAAGAGCACTGTCCAGCGTAGTATACTGAATTACTGATATTGCCCAATCAGTGCTGTGTTTTGCTTGTAAATGATGCTTAGGACTCTGTGTACATCACTGATAAACTAATTCATGGCATTGCAATAGTGGGAACTTTGGTTTAATCAAGAGAGCCAATCAATTGAACTTGCTGTTTAAAAGTTGTGTTTGAACGAGAGGGTTACAGTCATGGAGTCATAGCAACAGCGCGTGAGCAGCTTGGCCTTACCCTGCATTCACACTGCCAGGGACATGAAGCAACAAGGCGGCCAGAGGTCATTCATTTTCAATGAGATCCAGCGATTTCCGGTGACAGGAGGCAGCGCGAATGTTGGCGAGGCAGAGTGGGCGGAGTCAGCGGCGCGACAAAGTTGAGCAGAGTTTAACTTTATGCACATAAGGAGCGAAGTGACGTGGCGATTACCAATAGGAATTGAGCACTGAGCATTATTACACGCTTTATGTCCGCCACTGTGAAACAGCACTCTCCTAGATAAGTGTTCCTACTACAGGTGGAATAATGGCGGCGGTGCTTTCGTCACAAATAGACAGTAATCACAAAGACCAAATACGGCTTTCCCCACATACTGACTGCACAGACACAGGGATTAAATAAAAATAAGCACACAAGCGATTTCTCACCAGGATTTTTAGAGGGATCGCATCTGATTTGAGTTTGGCGTCAGTGAAACCATGGTAACCAATGGTCAGTTGGACTTCAGAAACGCCCAGGCGATGAGTGATCAGTGATTTGGGCGACAAGAGGCGAAAAGTTGAAGCCCGTGTGAACGCAGGGTTAGGGTGGAACTACAGATGGTTATCGAAGAGTCAGACTAGGAAAGTGCGTTAATGGTGTTAAATACATTTTTTTCATGCCGGTGGCAGCTCAGAGTGCTTTACAGACAGGTGATAAAGCTTAACGGTAATACAAGACATTGTAAGTATTAATTTAGAATCATATAAGAAAATGACACAGATCAGATTGAAAGATAAAAACCAAACAGACGTAGAGTTTTAATTAAACACTGAGTTAAAGAGCTGCGTTTTCAGATGTTTATTAAAAGTGAGCTCTGAGCTCGACTGTCTAATAAAAGGTGAACTGAGCTCCACAGTTTAGAAGCAGAATAACTGAACGAGTCTCTCCACATTTTCTGTGTTTTACCGAAGGTGTTTGCAGAAGGTCGGTTTCTGCAGATCTAAGATCACGTGCTGGAACATAAACAGACATTTACAGGTCATTTAGAGCCTTAAAGACTAGTAGTAGAACTTTAAAATCTATTCTGAACAATACAGGTAGCCACTGCAGTTCTTTTAAAACGGGAGTGATCTGATCTCTCTGTGTTGTTTCTGTTAGGATGCTGATGCATTTTGTACGAGTTGTAAAGGATGTATTGTTTTCTTAGGTAGTCCAGTAAGAAGATCATTACAGTGATCAACACTGCTTGTAACAAATGTATGAACAAGTTTCTCTGCGTCGCTCTGAGACAGAAATGCGGGATAAAACAGAGCTCAGAGTCTAAGATCACACCCAGGTTTCGTACTGCAGGTTTGGTACATGAAAGATAAAGAACGAAGTTTCTTATGAAGTAGCTTTCTCTGAGTTTTTGTACCAACAATCAGTGTTTCTGTTTTTTTATGATTTAATTGTAGAAAATTCAATGACATATTTAAATCATGTACTTTCAGTGCATCAGTTTTTTTAAGTGTATAGCATGGTCAGTTGTAATGGTTGTTTTTTTACTTTTCGCAGACCCTCTGTTTCGTAACCATGACAAAGACTCACGTGATCGCTGCGTCTAAGGAGGCCTTTTATGCCTGGCAGTACCGCGTGGCCAAAAAGCTCACCGCCCTGGAGATCAACCAGGTCGCCAAGACCAGGAAGGAGGGCCGTGAAAGGTTAGAAGCAGTGGTCAAAGGTCACCTAAGACTTTTAACAGTGAGGCACTGAGGAGATCCAGTCTAGCTATGTGAAAGGATGCAGTGGAGCTGCAAGCCTTCGTCATCTAGGATGTGGCTTGTGGTGTTCCGTTCATAGTTGTGTGTGAAGATGCTCTAACCTTCAGAAAGCAGGGACGGATGCGGTGTACTGCCAGGACTGGCTTTTACGCACAGCAGCAAAAATTCAAATACAATAACTTCCCTTTGACCATTACCCCCCCTCACTCTCTCTCTGTCTCTGTCTGTCTGTCTTTCTGTCTCTCCTCCTGCAGAGTTTACCACATCGATGACAGTCCGAGTGGAACCACCGATGGGACGCTCGACTTTGCCAAAGCCTTTACAGTGAGTGCACACACTTACTCACACACACTCAATGCCAGAATCACTCATGTGTTAGTGAGAAGGACACACACACACCCATATACACCTGTGGCTGTTTTTTCATCTCCTCGTCAAAGGATTAGTGGGAAAAACCCATAAAACACTCAGTACGGGACACACACTTCACAGCATCAGCTCACAGGCACAAAATCCGCTGCATGATTTTACACCACTGATATTTACAGTATTACGCAAAGTCAGAGACCCTTCATGTATTTCATTTCCAGGCAAAACAGCCGTTAAATGCAAGTTGTTTAGTTTTTAGCAGATCTTTCTGAAGAGATTAGATAGAAGATAATCCACTTGCATAAGGAAGAGGAAAATGCAACCAATCTCTAAGGCCCAATCCCGTTTCACCCCTCACTCCTACCACTTAGCCCTACCCCTCTGTTTTCGGTGTCCCAATTTTTTTTGAGATGGAGGGGTAGGGTGAAGTGTTAGAGCTACATGGCCCTCCAAATGGAAGATTTTAGAGACACACTCCAAATGGAGTGTTGGAGAAAAAATTTAAACTGGCAAGATGGCTAAGCAAGAGACCAAAGAAACACACAAATGTGAGAATTTTCTGTTAAAAAATTACGATAATCATTGTATTATCTTAGTTTAATGTCGTTTCAATGTATTATGTAGTATGCTGATGTCTCATTAGCTAGCTACATTTCCCGTTCCACCTTAAATGGTGCAGCAGTTACATTCTGCCACCTCAGGCATCAGAACTGCTGCACCATTTAAGGTGGAACGGGAAAATTTGAACAAGAAGCTGGTTAATATCTGACTTCAGCTTCATATCACTGAAGAATTGGGGGTGGGTGATAATAAATAATTGCCCCCCTCTTTGAAGTCATATGATTCCCTAAATGTAACTAAAGCCCAGCAGTGAGGAGCTGAACTTTACCCTCCTCTGCTGTCACTGCAGACTGGCAGGGTCGCCTACAGAGCAGCGCTGGTAGCTGTTAATGAAGTGATGCTCTTTTTATTTGAGGGTCCCATTTCGTTGGAGAAGATTTCAACCACTACCCCTTATAACTCCAAGAGACAAGGTTATTCTCGAAAACAAGGGGTAGGGGTAAAAATTGGGCCTAAAACTGAACTTTGGAAAAGTGAAGAGTGAAGAGTGGACACACTCAATACGGAAAACTTCTGTGTTGTCTTCTGTTAAATATGTTTTCTGCTTTTTTTCCTGGGACATGATTTATTCTGTAATTAACTAGTAAATTAACATATTTTTTATTAATCTATCAACTTTATCAAATCTATTTCAAATGATTAATCAAAACATTACACCTTCTACCTTTTCCCAGTTTGCCCAGTCACTGCACCACCATTAATTTTTTTTAATTCTTCTTTTATTTCTGTTTACTTCCTTTATAGTGCAGCAAAACACTTACTGGAGAGTATTACAGTTTGTCAGAATGACCACATGGATCATATGAACGCTTTTGTTTTTTTAAATCGCTGACCTCTTTCTGTAATTGATGTCACCTGTGACTAAACGACTTTGTTGCAGCCCTGCTTTGCTGTAAACTAGTGTGTGACATTGTGTATGTGTTGTGTAGCTGTATGTGTGTGTTGTGTAGCTAATTGTGCCTTTATTTCAGGCAACCAGAGATCCCATCTGTTGCATCACAGCATCTGACAGAACCCTTATAGTGGTACGTATGTCTGTCTCATCCCTTTACTGTTATTATTTATAACATTCTTATTGCTTTGTTTTACTATCAGTAAAGCTTGTCTGTGGGTTAAATTTGAATGTAAACTCACCAGGCTTGTTTTTCAATTATTGTTCTTAAATAAGTATGTATTTATGTATGTATGTGTCTGTCCACAGGGCCGTGAGTCTGGGACTCTGCAGAAGTACAGCCTACCGAACATTACCCTCCTGCAGAAGTATTCTCTGGCCTACAGAGCTTACCAGCTCTCTCTCAACTGCAACTCCAGGTGTTTACACAGTCGCATTAAGGAAGTAAAGAAAGATCTAACAGCTTATGCAGCAGGACGATGTGAGAGTTTATAGCTAATAGGGCTGCAACAATTAGTTGATGGTGGTAATAATAAAAAATGGTGATTTTTTACTATTGATGTGTTAAAAAAAGCTCATTATACAAATTGTGGGGGTGATAATGGCTTCTGTTGTGTCGTTAGATCAGAGGAATTCATTTGTCACACAGACAGAACTGTAATGGTGCCAGCAGCAAAGGGAGAGGAACTGAAGATGCCATAATAGCTTAGTTATGTTAGGCAGTAAATTGAATTATAGTCTGTAGGTTAATCTGAGTATTAGCTGCAGCCGTAGTTTAGAATCACTTTGTCTTTTTGTCATTTAGTCGAACCCTCGAAATGAAGCTTCATTGGCACTACTAATAAAATAAAACAATTTTTGAGGCATTTGTGTTTTTAAATAACATTTTTCCTTATGGCCCAATTTTCACCATTGTTTTAATATTAGTTGTCTATTTCTGTGTAAATCTTTCTGTACTTTTCACCATATCTAGATTGCCAGATTGTCATGTTTGGATGTTTATGTTCTGTCTCCACAGTCGCCTGGCTATAATAGATATGACAGGAGTATTGACGTTTTTTGACATAGAGCTGCGGGGGTCCTCTGGAGATGCAGAAGGAGGGGCGTCAGCTGGAGACCCCTCCAAATTTGAACGCAAAGATGTGTGGGATATGAAATGGGCCAATGACAACCCTGACCTGTTTGCCATGATGGAAAAGACCAGGATGTACGTCTTTAGAAATCTAGACCCAGAGGTGAGAGAGGGAGTTCCACTTAATAATCCACATCTCCACATTTCTTTTGCTTATGTGTTTTTTATGTAACCAATACAACACTTGAGGTTATCATCACAGCTGTGATGTTATTCACTATAATATACGACCTTGAACGTTATTATGCTTTTATACAGCATTTTTACATAGACTCATTTGCATTTATAATAACTCCGTCTGGTTTCCTGATACGTTTATTCTGCAACGAGAAACTGACAAACACTATAAAGTCACAAGGCTGAAGTCAGTTTCTTATTCAAATTGTCTTGTTCCACCTTAAATTGTGTAGCAGTTACATTCTTGGGCCTCAGACACAATTTAAGGTGGAACGGGAAAATTCGAACAAGAAGCTGGCGAATGAGAAGCGACTTCAGCCTCATAAAAAATCAGATGTTGAGAGACATTTTACAAAAAACTGTTCTACTTTTGCGGAAAAGTTTCCTGCCAGAGATGTGAGAAAAGCAGCTATAGCTGAGCTACAGCTTAAAGCAGAACAAAGTAAGTGTGTATTTTTGTTTAGATAACATTTTTTAGCCCTTACTAGTACATCAGCACATACTGAGACATGTTTACAGCCAAGATGGTAAAACGTTACTTCAATAAGATGGACATAAAATGTTGTGGCTCTAAAGGTGTTTTTGCTTTTGTTGTAAGGACAAAATGGCTTTTCTTAACATTTGGGTTACCGCTGGACTAAAGCAACATGAGTAAAATGCTTTAACCAATCAGATTGTGTGCTCAGAACTAACTGCTGTATAATGATGTTTAGAGGAAGGAGTCACAGCTGGGTCTTTTAAATAAGCCCACAGAAGTCTTTCTCAGTGAACCATGTTACTCAGCATGACCTAGACCACCTACTGCTTAAACTTACTGCACAGACATGATGGTCTGGAGGAATCAGCTGCCAGTTAGTCCGTCCTTCAGGTTCTCATACACTACCTTTATTGGCCATTAAAGGTGGAGTTAAAAACTGAAGCTTTCTGATTTGATTTCCTATGTTTAACTACTGTGTTGGTTATCTTCATTCGGGGTTTTATTATAGTATTTAATTATGGCTTTTATCTTTCTAATGTAGGAGCCGATTCAAACCTCTGGGTTCATCTGTAACTTTGAAGACCTGGAAATTAAGTCTGTTCTGTTGGATGAAATTATGAAGGTATGTACTTTTTATACCGGTAGTGGTTAAATAGCAGATTCAGCACAATTACCTAATTACGAAATCAGTTAAGCAACAGCGTATCTTGCATTACAGCCCGTATTAAAAAGGAATAAAAAATTCTTCAGTGATATTTTATTAACGCTAAACCTTTAGATGCCCTGGAGTAAGCTGTTTGGTTAAAATCAGAACTGAACTGAAGGCTGACTTCAGTTTTTTGACCCCTGTCTCAGGATCCTGAGCGGCCAAACAAAGATTACTTGATGAACTTTGAGATCCGTTCTCTGAGAGACAGCAGAGCGCTCATAGAGAAAGTGGGAATAGAAGACGCGTCGCAGTTCATCGAGGACAACCCTCACCCTCGCCTCTGGTAAGGTGAACAAATAACACACAGTACAATGCAGTGTCCTTCAGTGGTCAGGGGTGTCCAAAAAAAGGTGCATAGTGCTGGTTAATACAGGGTGAATCAAAAAGATTCATCCAATTTCAAAATGATTTATTTCACTTGTAAATCATTACAGATCAATGCAGTGAACTGTAAATGGTTTAAATGAGCATAAAGTTTATTATGTAATTTTACAAGTGCTCAATATGAACCTCCTCCAGCTGTACAGACAACATCAACGCCATAGTCAAATTCATCCCATACTCGATTGATGAGTGTCACTGCACTCACGGCTCTTTCAGTGTGATTTCAGAGATCATCCAGTGTTGTTGGTAGTGGCACATAAACAAAATCCTTAACATACCCCCACACAAAAAGTTACATGGCATGAGATCTGGTGATACTGCTGACCTTTTTCTTGGAACTGTTGGCACCAATGACGAATGCTCTGAGTTGTTGGAGGTTCACTGCCAGACTGACAGTCAGAAACTCTATGACCCCCTCTTTCAATTGGTATATGATTGGTTCCTGTAGAAAATGGCGCTTTGAAATCAGATGAATCTTTTTGAATCACCCTGTGTATCGTCTGTGCCAGTGTACCAACATTTGTGTCACAAATCAGTATTTCAGTGGTATTTATAGATAAAGTAAGCAACGTTTCTTTAGTTTTTAAGGTCTATTTTGTACACTTTACTTTTCCAACACCTTAAGTTACTAACTGCAGTGTGTTTGATTTAAAATACATGAAAACTACATAAATAGTATGCTTTTTAAAAAAAAACTGCTTTTTGCTGGCTAGCATTACAATACTGTGTAAAGTTCTATTTGCTGTAACAAAACACCATAGGGAACTTTACACAGTAATGAAAACGGAACAAAACAGTCCAATCAAAACAAGCTATGTAAGGTATATTAGATTTTCTTTTAGCATACAGGAGCAGCACTCAGGAAGCATGAGCTCTCTTTATTAATGCTAACTTAAATATCATCATATAACATGATATGTACCAAAATTTATCTGAGAAGATAATATGTAGAGCCATTTTCTGGGCAGTAAGCATTTATTTGTTAAAAACACTAACATCAGAATAAATACAAATAGAAAATCCGTTGTGATTATTCTGTGTGAATGTGTTAGCTTAACCCACATGCGTCAGGCTCCAGTCCTCGTGGGCCAAAACACTGCAGACTTCAGCGCTCTGCCTCATTAAACACACCTGATTCAGCTCATCAGCTAATAAGCGAGGCCTTCATGAACTGAATTCAGAGCGTTAGATGAAGGTAAATGCATCTCCACAGCGCTTTGGCATGGAAGATCCCCATTTTGACATGCCTGGCTTAAACAATACCAAAGCTCTCTTTAAACCCAGTTCATTCCACAACAGTTGATGGCAAAAGTTGGGAAAATTGAACTTTTGTTGTAATGTTCTGCTGACCGCTGTGATACGCAGCCATTGACGCTGGTGGAGGTGGAATTTTCCATCGCTGCACCAATGAAAACAATGTAATATGTGGTTTGCCGTCAACTGTCTACCATCATGAGGTAAATGCAGCATAATGCACAGACCTGTACTTGGAAAATATTGTGATATTGAATCATCAGTCAGAACAGCCCTGCAATGTTGGTCAGTTTCATAGGCAAGTCTCATGATTTTTGACTACTTTCTGTCTTTTTTCTTCCATTTGTCCGCTTGACTTTCTAATTGCAGTGTTGCAGAGAGATCAAGTAGAAGAACTCATACATTATTATAAGCAAAACTCAGGATAACTTTTAAATTTCCCTCTCATTGCTGGAGCTTGAGCCTTGTTGAGTGGGCAGCAGCCACAAGAGACCCCCTTGTCCAGTGTGTGCGAGTATGTGCATGTTTGTGTTCGAGTGTGAGTTCGTATGGCTGTTGCCATGACGTTGAGAGAATGTCTGCACTCTCATTCAGGAAAGTTTCCCACATCTTGGCATCTGTGCATGTGAACACGTGCATGTTTAAGTGTCTGTGCGGTGGACTCAGGGCTGTAGAGCACATGTCACTGTTTGTTTACTCTTCTCTCGGTGACGTGAGACGCTGGCGAGTCTGCGCTGGTTTTATGATCGCCATGACGTTTGTTATATGGTTCTGTGACGTGAGACGCTGGACAGCATGGGCTGCTTAACGGTCCGAGTTACAGAAAGCTGAACACTCGTATGGAGGACGCTCCGTTACGGATAGACCACATTACTGCTGAGTGATAAGGCAAAAATGTGACATCACAAAACTTGAAGACGTTTTCATAATACATGATATGGGCTGTATCACAATATTTAGTCATTTTAAAGTTTGCAAGCAAGTTGGAATGGAGAAAATGTGCCAGCAAAACATTTAGAAAAAAACAATTATGAGTGCAATGATTTGTTTAAATTCAGTGTTTGTCTTTTTTTTATGATCCACGTTGTTCAGAAGTACTGATCATACCTGTCATATACTCAGAAAAGCATATTGTGATGTAATTTATCTAGATAGCAATAACGTATTGTCATATCGCCCGCTCCTACCACTATGAAAGAAAAATGTGACAAATCTCAGTGGCCAGTTTTTGCCACCAGATACTGACAGTAATGCTGTCTTGCTGGAGTAAATCAGCCGGTTTGAGTCTGTCTGGCTCTGGCGCCTGTAGAGACTGAGAGAGAGATGATGCCTCGAGTGTGTTGGGGATATGTGAGCTGTGTGACAGTGTGTTTGGAAGTGTGGGAGGCTATCGAGAATTCCCTCGCTCTGAAGCTCTGGGCCTGCTGACACTTTTCTCAGCACACAGAGGAATTTCGGAACGACCTGGCAAAAAAGGAAAGACCTCGCTGCACAGTCTGAGTACAGCCTGACCTGCCCAACCGAAAGAGTCCGATCTTTACTTTAATGTCAGTGTAACATTGTTTAGGGTGAAGGTGAAAGGGGGAGAGAGAAAGAAACAGAAAAAGAGGGGAAGAGGCAAATAAGAAAAAAGAGAGAGAGGCAGAGAGACACAGAGAAGAAGGAGAGAAAGAAAAGGAGAAAAACAAGGAGAATAGAAAAAGAGAGGGGAATGGAGAGAAAGAAAGAGAGAAGAGAGAAAGAAATAAAAAGAAGGACTGAAAAAGAGAAAAATGGAGAGGAGATGGGAGACAAAGAGAGAAAAAAGAAATAGTAACAGAGAGAGGGGAGAGTGAGAGGGAAGATAGATAGATAGATAGAATGTTAAACTTATTTACCTTTATTCCAGCTTCCATTCTTTTCAGGAGCCTCACTTTCAGTTCCTCCTTTTCTCTCAAAGATGAAAGCTTTAAGTGCTGTTTATCTGATGGGGGCAGTTTTGGTGTCTACCAGGACTTCCAGGTGGTTGTTAGGAGTCTTATTTTGATCATTTTTGAACTCCAGTTCCCAGAATAGTAGAAGCTGTTACTGCAGCAAAGGGGGACAAACTCCATATTGATACCTTTCATTTCAGAAGACACGTTGGATGAGCAGGTGCCTACAAACATACAGTGTATGTGCACTTACTGCATTGTGTTGGCTCTCAGTCTGGAGTTCACCATGAGTTCAGAGGTCAGTGTTAGTTGCGTGTGAACGTATGAAAGACCTCTGCTTGTTATTAAACACATTCTACTCTTTTCTTCTGGTTGTGGCCTTTTGTCCATGTGTTTTCTGCGAGCATTTGTCCTGTCAACACTGAGGGAAAGAGCAACTCCAACAAAACTGCCATTGGTGCTCAGAGGTCATCACTGTGGAGTAAAACATTTTCAGTGACCAATGTTTACATGCTGCAAATTCTTCTAGTGGCCATAAAGTAGAATTCCACATAGTCACGTAAGGAAATACGACATTTTCTTAACCATCATCCACATCTCAGCTGAACCATTTTAACTAGAGTTGTGTTTGTCAGAATTGGGGTCATTTCAAGCAAATTAATAAATCCTTAAATTGATTTATTTAGCATTTAGAAGTATAGTAGAAGTTATTGATGTTACTATTTAACTGTAAGTACATAATTACATAATTAATTACAACCCTATTTCCAAAAAAGTTGGCACTCTGTGCGAAATGTATTCAATAACAGAATGCAGTGATGTGCAAATCATTTAAGCCCTATATTTAATTGAAAGTAATGCAAAGACAACATATCAAATGTTGAAACTGAGTATATATGAAAAATATATGCCCATTTTGAATTTGATACCAGCAACACATTTCAAAAAGGTTGGGACAAGAGCAACAACAGACTGGTTAAGTTGTGTAATGAAAAAAAAAAAGCACCTGGTGGAACATCTCACAACTAATTAGGTTGATTGGCAACAGGTCAGTAACATGATAGGGTATAAAAAGCACATCCCAGAGGGGTTCACCACCAGGAACAAGGCCAAAAACCAGTATTGGCTGGCTGTGATCTTTGGGCCCTCACGCAGCACTGCATTAAAAACAGGCATAATTCTGCACTGGAAATCACTGCATGGGCTCAGGAACACTTCCGAAAACCACTGTCTGTGAACACAGTTCTTCACTGCATCCATAAATCCAAGGTAAACCTCTATCACGCAAAGAACGAGCCATATATAAACAGAATCCAGAAACGCCGCCGCCTTCTCTGGGCCTGAGGTCATTTGAGATGGACTGAGGTGCAGTGGAAAATGTCCGACGAATCAAAATTCTTTTTGAAAATCATGGACGCTGCGTCCTCCGGGCTAAAGAGGAGAGGGACCATCCGGCTTGTTATCCGTGCACAGTTTAAAAGCCAGCATCTGTGATGATATGGGGATTTAGTGCACATTGCTTGGGTGACATGCACATCTGTGAAGGCACCATTAATACTGAACGGCATTTACAGGTTTTGGCAACATATGCTGCCATCCAGACGACGTCTTTTTCAGGGAAGGCCTTGATTATTTCAGCAAGACAATAACAAACCACATTCTACACTTATTACAGAAGCATGGCTCCGTATTAAAAAGAGTCCGGGTGAAAAAAATTCTCAGCTTCAACATTTGATATGTCATCTTTGTACTATTTTCAAATAAGTTTAAGTTACCCTTTATTAATCCCACAACAGGGAAATTCACCTCCGCATTTAACCCATCTGTGCAGTGAAACACCCAAATACACACTAGTGAGTGGACACACACTAGGGGGCATTGAGCACACTTGCCCAGAGCAGTGGGCAGCCCTATCCACAGTGCACGGGGAGTAGTTGGGGTTAAGTGCCTTGCTCAATATGGGGTTTTAGTAATTTGGACATCATTGCATTCTATTATTAGTTAAATTATATTTGATCTACACTTACTTTTTTCTGTTAGTTTTGCTGTCAAATGACAAAAACATGGCAAAAATGTAAAAGACTGAACGCAATAATGCATTTTCAGCAAATTCAAGTAGTAATAAAATATCTCCTCTTCAACTTACAAGCACAAATGTCCAATCTTTGAATATACACTTTACACAAAATTGTCCACTAATTTAATTGGTTATATGCAGAGCCATTTCTTGTACGAGTATATTTATTGTTATTATTATTATTATTATTATTATTATTATTATTAGTAGTAGTAGTAGTAGTAGTATTGTTGTTGTTATGGTTGCGCATAATTTTTTTCATCCCTCGTTCCTCCCGTAGAATCCCATTTATTTTCTTTCGCAACAAAAGCCCTAATCTGTCTTTTTACCAACAGCCACCAAAGTACATGTACTCGGTCAGGTTTCCAAGCTCTAATCCACACCCATACTGACCCACAGTTCTCTATGTGTTAGTTTTTTCATCCCTCGTTCCTCCTATAGACGTCCATAGTAACCGCTGCGCACCCATTCCGCGTTTCCTTCAGGAAATGCACTTTTCTATTTATTACCATTATTATTATTTAGCATTTGTCAGTCACGGTGATGGCAGAAACAGTTCCTGTATTTATTTCATTTGACTTATTATTTTTTAATTTTATTTATGTAGGCAGGTAGTTTAAAGATTCAATATCCAATTTTTATAATTAAGTGTTGTTTTATTGTTTTTTTTTCCAGATTTAATTAATAAAGTGTTTTTCATTGATGTCTACAAAATACTATGATACGAGTGGGTTAAGGAGCTTTATATGTTCAGAAACAGCCCTGGCTATGACTGGTATTAATATAAAACTAAAACATGCTTTTTGTTATCGCTGGTGGTAACTACGAATTCTGTTTCATTTTAACATACATTAATAAAACACTGCTTTCTGTTTCGCCTCTCTCTCTCTCTTTCTCTCTCTCTCTGTCTTTGTACAGGCGTTTGCTGGCGGAGGCTGCGCTGCAGAAGCTGGAGCTGAAGACGGCTGAGCAGGCGTTTGTGCGCTGTAAGGATTATCAGGGAATCGAGTTTGTGAAGAGGCTCGGGAACCTGCAGAGCGAGGCCATGAAGCAGGCGGAGGTGGCGGCCTACTTCAGCCGCTTCGAAGAGGCCGAGAGGATGTACCTGGACATGGACCGCAGGTACGTCTGGACACGCCCTACAGCACCTGGAGGAGAGCCAGAAATGACTTTAAGCCAAAGTGTTCAGTGGATCTGCACCTCACTGTTTTGTTGCTTGCAATTTTCTTACTGATTTTCTTTTTTTCTTATCTGTGTCCAGAGACCTGGCGATCAGTCTGAGGATAAAGTTGGGTGATTGGTTCCGGGTGCTCCAGCTATTGAGAACCGGATCAGGAGACTCCGACGATGCTCTGCAGGAACAGGCCTACAACGCCATCGGAGATTACTTTGCCGATAGACAGAAATGGTACAGGAAGAAACTGCTGGGTTCATTGCAGAATTGACTTCAGGAGAGTCTGAGCGAAAGTCAGTTATTAAGGGTATAAATGTCACACTTGTTTATGTTTTTGTGTTTTTTAGGCTCAATGCGGTGCAGTACTACCTACAGGGTCGTAACCAGGAGAGACTGGCAGAGTGTTACTACATGTTGGAGGACTATGAGGGGCTGGAGAGACTCGCTAACTCTCTACCAGAGAACCACAAACTGCTGCCGGTGTGTTCACTCTTTCATACGTCTGTAGGCTTTATTTTCTTTATTAGCAGATTTCCCTGCTGTTTATAACCAGGATGAACATTTTACTAAAAATGACTATGAATAATTTACTGTTGTTGTTAGGACATTGGCCAGATGTTTGTGACTGTGGGGATGTGTGAGCAGGCAGTAAGTGCCTATCTCAGGTGTAGCCAGCCCAAAGCAGCCGTGGATGCCTGTGTGCATTTAAACCAGGTAAGAACAGTCAGGCATGTACAGTTGTATGCAAATGTTTGGGCGCCCCAGGCCAAATCAAATGTTTTATTCATTTTCTAAGTTAAAATAAAAACACACTTCTGCATATTTAATGTACAGTTACTGTTTATTTGCTGAATTTACCATATTGTTGAAAAAATTAAACCTAAAGTTTGGCAAAAGTAATGGCAATTCTTTTTAGATTTTATTTTTTCCAATATATTAAACTCATATAAATAGAAATTGTAAAGTTTCCTGTTGAGGATGTGTGCTTATTTTCTCTTATAAAATCAACAATACATGTAATTTGAACAGAGATATTCAGACTTTAGCATACAACTGTGTATTACATCATCTCACCTGTATGTACCTGTTAAACATCTCATGAAGCTTCATGGCTCTTGTTGCTGCTAGATGTTTCCACTTCACCATAGAACTTACATTTGACTGGGGCAACTCTAGCAGGGCAGACATTTGACAAAATGGCTTGTTGGAAAGGTGTCATCTTATGAAAGTACCATTAGAAGTCACTGAGCTATTAAATATGACTCATTCTGCTGCCAGTGTTTGCCTGCATGGCTGTATGCTTATTTTTATTCATTTAATAGGCCTGAGTCTAATAGAAGGCATGTCCACATACTTTTGGCCATGTAACGTATGTACGTTTTACACTGTCCTTTTTTGTTGCTGCTGTAATTTTGTTTGGGATTAATAAAGTTTGCCTCTCCGTCCATCCATCCATCCGTCCTTCACTACCACACTCAAGAGAAGTTCCTATAGAGACAGACAGCCCCAGTTTCAGAGTCAGATGTCAGTCACTGTGCTGGGTGATTTTCATCCTCTCTCTGACTCAGAGCCACGTTCTTTCCTGTTCCTCCCAGCTGATGGGTACTGTGGCTTAATAACACACTACTTTCTCCAAATAAGTATGTTATTAGAGTCACAACAGATTGATCGGTCCAGTATCCTGCAGCAGATGTTTGTAACCAACCATTGGCTTGCACTGGGTTGCCTAACCGCATCAGTCTCATACATTTGGAGATCATGTTTTACTTCTTACTTTGCACAAACAGAAAATGGACACTTTTAAGATCACATTTGACTGACAGCTGATTTGGTCAGACTCTGAAGATGAGACGACACTAAATCCCCTAACTGTCATCACCACTGAGCAGCTTTTCAGTCGGCAGCTGTGACAGAAGAACAGCTAAACAACCTGGAATCAGCCAGAAATGAACCCAACACCATTCGCCAAACTAAATGGGCTGTAAGATGCTTTACAGACTGGCTGGAACAAAACAACATTAATACTGATCCGGTCAAAATTTACAAAACTGAGCTGAACCTGATATTGTGTCAGTTTTATGGCTCAATCCGAACTTCAAAAGGAGAGGCTTACAGCAGACTGAGCAGCGAGTGGGCGGAGCTCGTTACTCTGACGTAGCAACAAGCTGCTTGTTAAGGAACTATAATTTGGTGAAGGAACTGCGAACATTAAAACATATTAAACGCCGCGTTCACAGCCCAGTTTATTAATTTATTACTTTATTTATTTAACTGTTGTATAAAAACAATAGAACACTTGAGGAGTGTGTTATCGCCTTTGGCTCGTGCCTGCGACCAAATCACAGCCGTGATGTTATTTCGCGATAACACACTCCCTCTCGTGTTCTATTGCTTAAGTAAATCACTGCTGTCTGAACAAAACCTCATATCTCTATTTTTGCATTTTTTCAGTGTTTGACATAATTTGAAAGCGCCTGTTGTCCTGTTGTACATTTTGTGTAAATTTAATGATGAATGGACAAAAAGAAATGTCCCAAAATAAAAAAATAAAAAAATTCTGGTTTCATGGAGTTTTTTCCTTCTCCTGTAAACTTCTTATTTAATATATATAAAATAATTGAACTTTTAGATATACTAGAATTAAACAAGATACACTCGCTGTGCTACAATTATTCCTCAAATATGTCTAGAATTATTGATAGGCTACATCTGTTGATAAAGCTTATGTTATTAACGTTTTAGATTTTCTTCAAAATCTAAAACGTTGTGTTCTTGTGTTTCAGTGGAATAAGGCTGTAGAACTGGCTAAAAACCACAACATGAAGGAAATTGGTCCTCTACTGTCCAAGTACGCCTCTCACCTGCTGGAGAAGAGTAAAACCCTGGAGGCAGTGGAGCTCTACAGGAAGGCTCACCACTTCTTGGATGCTGCCAAGCTCATGTTTAAGGTGAGAGAGTGGAACGCCCTGTTTTGAAACGGCCTGCGTTGTTAGCTTCCATCCTATTTCATTATTTTATTACATTTTTTGTTTTTTTAAGAAAGGCTTTTATTTGCCTTTCTTCTTCTAAAGCACTTTGAGCATTTTAAATGAGTATTTTAAATGTGTGTAAGGTGCTATATAAATAAAGATCCAACTTCTTATTGTTATTATTGTTAATAATATTAATAATCATAATAAACAATACTTCAAAACTGTTCTGGTGCCACCCTGGCAAGTTACTGCCCTAGACGACTGCCTATGTTGGCTATGCCCACCACAGATCTCACGAACTGCTGAAAATGATCTTCTGTTTGCGCAGATTGCAGATGAAGAGGCGAAGAAAAGAACAAGGCCTTTGCGGGTGAAGAAGCTGTACGTGCTCGCCGCCCTGCTGGTGGAAAACTACCACGCTCAAGTCAAAACCTCACAGCAAAGCAAAGCCAAGGGCAAAAAGTCAGAGGTACTGTCTTCCATCTAATCTAACACCTTTACACACAAAAGCTCTGTTCTATTTGTGTAGAAATGCTGTGAAGATGCTTTATCTATAGACAGCAATAGTGTCTAATAGTCAGGGGCCGGATTCATGAAGGAAAAACCTGTGAAAGTTCTTAAGGCCTCAGCACTTCTTGTGAAACGAAATTCTTGAGGGTTGTGCGAAGGTTTCGTGTTGCCTGTCGCTGATGCTCCACGTGACACTATGACATTTATGATAAGTTTCATGACTGCTGGAAAACGATTCTTTCACTGTTCTAACTATGGCGAGTTCACAACACTGCCACCATTTAAGGTGGAACGGGAAAATTCAAACAAGAAGCTGGTGAATAGAAAGCCAACTTCAGCCTCGTCCTCTTGTGAACCTAAATATAAGGTTATCTGTATGTTTTGGAGGTTGGTACTGGTTAGTACTACAGAATAAGACTTAACACTTTACATTTAGGAGATATTCATTCTTTATTTAACAAATGTGCGTTTCATAGTGAAATACTAGTGTGTCTGCCAAAGCCGAAGGTCCTCAAAGTCGTCCATCTTTATTCAATGTCACACCTCTTTTTTTACCGACCAATCAGAGGCTTTGACGCGTAGCATCTTAATCCAAGTTCGCCCAGCTGCCATGTGCGTGACACAGCGAACGAAGCCTCTGCCTGACATCTGCGGTTGTTCATTTTCTCCGCAATTATGTCATCGCTGAAGCCAGGCGAACGCCATCTCCTCAAGACGTCTGCTGAGGCCTTTAAGACAAACACTAAGAAGTTCATAAGAACGTTCTTAAATGCAATTCTTGAAAAAAACTTAAGAAGTTCTCAAATATTCTCTTAAGATAATTATTTTTTTACGATTTTCTTAAGAAAATCTTTTTTGTTTTCTTATGTCGGCTGGGTTGCATTTTGATACAAAGATATATTTTGAATTTGTATGAACTGTTATTTCCCTTATTAGGTTCATCTGCTCAGAGGAGCAAAATGGAGGAAAAACATCAAACCAAGTGTTTAAAATCTTTAAGAAAAACAAGAAATAGAGGTGATGGTGGACGAAACAGCCAACAGGAAAAAAAAATCCTCCTTAGAAAATATGATAATTGTGAGGTGATGGCGGAGAGCAAGAGACAAGGGTGAGAAGAGTAGCAGAGGCGGCGTCTGAGTTTTATAATTGATTTAGATCAAATCTCGTCAACTCTTGCAGCCTAAGACAAGTTTGAGGCTGTTGTAGGGTTAAGGAAACATTTGAGAACATAATGTTTTCAAGAATAACACTTGTTTTTAGAATTATTCTTAAAAAAGGAGTTCAGAAAAAATCTTAAAGTTTACCAATTTTTTGAAACTTTTTTCTTAAAAATGAAATTAAGAAAAAAGCACATTTTCTTTCTTAAGACACTTTTGTGAATCCGGCCCCAGGTTCAGTCAGGGACATCACTGCTGCCCTTCAAAGATTTGGGGTCACTCGGATTTTCAAAATATTTTTAATACAAATGAGCCTGCTTTCTTTGTCAGTTTTCAGTATCTTAACATATTAAAGCAGGTTAATTTAGAGGGAAACAATATGACGTGTAAATCTTTGTGCCAGTATTAGTATGAATAAAGTCCTTGGGAATAAAGCCCAAGGCTACATATTTTATCTCCTTGTTGTGATGTCAGCACTCAGACCTTTCAGGTGTTTAAACCTTTGGACCAAAAGTTTCAATCTGTTCTTTTTGGGAAGAGAAAACTGTCAAATTATTATTTAGGCAAAATCTGCCCTTCATGACAAGTAAGGTAAATGAACCCAAAGCATTTTGCAAAATTTGTCTTTCTTACTTAAGAGGTAACGGAATGAAAATTACAAAAGAAGTCAAAGTGTCACTAAACTTTTCATCTGTCACAGTCAGGAAGCCCAGTTTTCAGGCAGTAACTGATCTAAAGAGTGAGACAGTGGGCTTTTAATCTTGGAACCAGCTTCCTTCCTTCCTTCCTTTAGCTCTGTCATCATTAGAGATAAAGGGGGTTATTTGTAGCCCAATTGAGGACAATGTTGTGTGTGTGTGTGTGTTGTCTAGGCCACGTCTGCTCTGGCTGGCCTGTTGGAAGAAGACGCGTCCACCTCAGACAGCCGTATTGTGGATAAAGCGTGGCGCGGAGCAGAAGCTTACCATTTCTTCCTCTTAGCTCAAAGACAGCTCTATGACGGAAATGTGGAGGCCTCTATGAACACAGGTATAAATCAGAATGCACATAAACTCTCTGTTCATTCATTAACACTTCGAGCTCCATACTGCACTCACATTTTATTTACATTCTGTATCTGCAGGTTTGAATCTGTGCATCTGACTTTTTCCATTTGTTTTAATGTCCAAAAATGACAAAACAGAGCACACAGTCTGTGGACACATGGCATTAAATCATTCGCCTGAGTTGGAAAAACAAACCACAGGTTAAATTCTTTAGATTTTTCAGTCAGACACAAACATACAGTCAGTGCAGTTCCCCAGAAGGTCCAAATGTATACAAAGTCCCAGGCTAAGACAAATAAAACGCAACATAAAATGTGTCGGCTGACCACCTGTAGCAGTGAGTTGTGCATGTGACGCAGCTCCTGAGTGCGTATGTACGTACATGCGCCTGCGTGGTCTTGTATCTGCGTCTCTGTTGTGTCTTCTTTCATTTGTGACGCAGAAGGTACCTCGTCATTCAGTGCTATGGGCATTTAACACACGTGTGTGGCTGCTGTATGACCTGTTTACAGCGTGATACTCTTTCATTACACTATTTTTTGTTAAAATGCTTCAAAATACAATTGTAAGAAGGAAAATTAGAATTTAATTAGTTAAGTATAGTATAAAAATATGTTCGTTGGGTCAGTAGGTGAGTACGGTGGCCGAGAAGACCCAACAAACTGCTACAAACACACAAAACACTTTCATCAGAATGACAACATGGGCTCTGCATTTTACAAATGTGCTGCAAATTCGTGGACACTCTGCAAACTCAGAAAGCACTTTCATCAAAATGATGGCACAACGCTACATTTCATAAATGCACTGCAATTACAGAAAACCCAAGCAACTTCAGAAACACTGATAATCCAGTGACAACACAATGGACATATTTCCAGATGGCACTCAAAGAGGACGGAGCCATTCAGGCTTTCAGATTCTGTGCAGCATAAATATTCACCGGTAAAAGTAAGTTAACTTTTATTTGAGCAGATTACTGACATCACTGTATCGTAATGGGAGTTATCTGTAAAAGTTAAACTGGTATAATAATACCAGAGAACTACCACAGTACAGCTGTGACATGTTAGATAGCTAGCCAGCCAGATTATCCATAAACTCGGGATGTCAGTGTCTGAGTGTCCATGATCTTACTTACTTCTGTCAGTGGTTTTCCATCACAGATATTCCATCTTCTTACAGTCTTCCAGAAACATATCCGTTGTGTCGTGACTGGCTTTGCAGCTTTTCTGCCTGTTTTCTTTATTTGCAGTGCGTTTGTAAAATGTAGCTCCAATGTAGTCATGTTGATGAAAGTGTTTTCTGTATTTGCAGCATGTTTATGAGTTTGTAAAGTGTTTTTAATTGAACAATGAATATCTTGTGGGTTACCGTAGGTGAGGAGGTGCGGTTAGGGAACTTTCTGGTTGGCCAAATCAAACGGCGTCATGTCCACACTTTGAGCATGTTCCTAAATGCTGTCCTAACTTCAGGATAACGTCTCTTTTAGGCTTCTGTCACTATAGTTAGCTGTTCTGATGAAATGTACTACTTTTAGGCAACTGTGACATGCGACATAAGGCCAGTCATATTAACTGGCATAATAGCATTACATTTGTTCATACTGCAAAACATATGTTCATGAAAACCAAATAAAATACTGCAGAGTTGGCGGAGGAGACAGAGTTTAACGTTGGACATAGTAAGCAGGGAAAGCAGGCTATGTGAACTTGGCCTCGGGAAATGGAAACTGAAACTGATAACCCTGTTAACAGGCACAGTCACATTCTTGTAGTTTATCAAAGTTACTAAAACTTCCATTTCATTATACTTTCTCAGCTGTGCATGTATTGTTTATTGGTTGCAGGGCAAAAATGTAAAACAGGTCTAGTGTCAAAGCTTGTTTTGGAAATGCTCTCCACTGAAGTGTTTTATCTTGCACAGAATCAAAGGAATCTTGTTTTGATTTCTTTACTTTATCCATTCTTTCACCTTTTCATTCTTGATCTATCATAATTCTTAGTTTCTTTGCATGTTTTCTCATCTCTGTATAAACTTAATGGGCATTCAGTTATTCATAGTTATTGGTTAATCTTCAGTTTTTTCAGTTTCAGTCATATTTCAGTCATTTTTTTGCAGTTGTTCAAAGAATTGCTTTGTATGGCGGTAATACAAAATCAGAAGACAGTGTTGCTATTGAAAGGTTTGCATACTTGGTTGCACAACATCAGTTTTCAGTTATTCTCTGCCCTTGTTCAGCCCTGTGTATTAGGGCTGCTCAATATATCATTAGATAGATAGATAGATGGATGGATGGATGGATGGATAGATAGAAAAAGAAAGATAAATCGATAGAAATAAAGAAAGAAATAAAGAAAGATAGATTGATAGAAAGAAACATCAATAGAAAGAAAGATAGATCGATAGAAAGATAGATAGATTGAAAGAAAGAAAGACAGATCGATAGACAGAAAGAAAGAAAAATAGAAAAAAGCTAAATCGATAGAAAGAAAGAAAGAAAGAAAGAAAAAATAGAAAGAAGAAAGAAAGAAAGAAAGAAAGATCGATAGAAAGAAAGATCGATAGAAAGAAAGATCAATAGAAAGAAAGACAGACACAGACAGACAGACAGACAGACAGACAGATAGATAGATAGATAGATAGATAGATAGATAGATAGATAGATAGATAAAAAGAAAGATAAATCCATAGAAAGAAAGAAAGAAAGAAAGAAAAAGATAGAAAGAGTGAGCATTAGTGAGGTCAGGTGCTGATGTTGGATGGTCAGTTCTGGATCACTAACTCATCCCAAAGGTACTGGATGGAGCTCCATCACTCCAGAGAACACAGTTCCACTGCTCCACAGCCCAATGCTGGGGGGCTTTATACCCCTCTAGACTGCGCTTGGCTTTGGTGCAGCTGAATGCACTGAGAGCAGTTGATGCACCTTAAAGTAGCTGAATTCACTCATTAGACGGTTGTCAGTGTGGCAGTATAACTGCAATACTACCATTTTGTCCATATTGTGCAGCCCTACTGTAACTGTATAATGTATTTCTCCCACTGTTTTATAAAAGTTTCCATGTGGCGCCTTATAAGTCTTTCCATGCTTCAAATTTTATTTATATCTTTATTTCTGATCCTCCTTTTATATTCTCTCTCTCTCTGCAGCTCTGCACCTGCGTGACTATGAGGATATAATCCCTGCAGTGGAGATCTACTCCCTGTTGGCCATCTGCTCCTCAGCGAATCGCGCGTTTGGTACCTGCTCTCGCGCCTTCATTAAGCTGGAGTCTCTGGAGAGTCTGTCCCCAGAGCAGAGGCAGATGTACGAGGACTTGGCCCTGGAGATCTTCACCAAACACAGCCCTAAAGACAGCCGCAAGAGCCACCTGGACAGCACAGACGACAGGTAACCACGCGCACGTATACTGCACATCCTAGTGTTTAACATTCTACTCGCTTTAATGCAGACAACAATTATGATTGTATTCCACTTTAATACACCACTTTTTATTAGCTTTGTATGCTTGGTGCAAACGTAGACCAAAGCAGGAGGTTTATGGATTTCATACTTCAGTTTTAACCTTTATAAGTGTAGATTTATCATTGTTTTGCTATACAGATGATTTACACAACATAATTAGCGATTGCATGTTGCTGTACTCCTCAGGGAATTGTGTGTTTGGTACCTGATTTGATATCACGATCATAACAATAGTGTTGCGCATTGCAGTGCAATATGCAACACTTTTGTAATGCAATGAAAAGCAGCGTGAAACACTATTGTTATCCGACTCTATATTCTTCTTATTTTTCTGCTGGTATACAGCTTTTAGATCGGACATTACGGTTTCCTGTAGGAATGAATGGGGTGCAAAAGTTTGTGCAGTCAACTTACATCATGTTGATGCAAGTCCCATTAGCAACAACCTATAAACCATGGTAACACCCTAGCAACCACTTGGGATACAACTGCAACCACCTAACAACACCCTAGCAACCACCTGGGATATAACAGCAACCACATAGCAACACTTTAGCAACCACCTAGCAACACACTAGCAACCACCTGGGATACAATAGCAACCACCTAGCAACACCCTAGCAACCGCCTGGGATACCATCGCAACCGCCTAAAGTACCATAGTGACCATTCGGCAACACAATAGCAACCACCTAGCAACTGCTTAAGCAGCACAGTCGCTCTGCATTGTTTTCTGTTTTTGTTTCTCTGGGTTAACAGATGTAAAAGTCTTCACCATAATTGTTCTCTTGCCTCTTAAATTATGAAGACTTTTAATTTCTTATACATCACATTCAAAAGCATTTCATTCACTTCAGTGCAGTCCAAAAATAAATTAAGAAAATGGACTTCATTGTGACCACTTTATACTAGCTTTGCATGTTTGTCCCAAACTTACACAAAAGTTTTAATTACAGAATTGCGTAATTAATCATGTTTAGTTATCTAATAAATTACATTTGCATTACATTTACGTTCGTTTTGTATATATGATGAATATATCTTTTACTTAGAAATGTGGTATCAGTTGAAAGGTTACCCATAACTTCTCCACTTTTTTCAATGAGCTTCAAGTCAGAAATAAAAACCAATCATAAGAAGAGGTATTTGAAGATATAAATGCTATAGGGACCAAGAAATGTCAACTCAAATCGGAAAACAGGTTCAGATTAGGCCTTACAGGTTTTAAATTCCTTCCAAACGTCTTTTGCACTCCTGCGGCTTTCACAACACAACAGAACAGACATGAGTGAGGAATAAGCTGTGTAAGTGTTCTTTCTCTCTCTTTCAGCACGGAGGGCAAGCTGCCGACGTGCATAGTGACCGGCAGGAGCATCTCGGATTATCAGTTCTGGATGTGCAGTGTGTGTAAGCACTGTGCACACGAGCAGGACATCACAAGCCACAACTTCTGCCCTCTCTGCCATTCCTCTCTGACATGACTCCGCCTTTATTCTCCTCTTTTCTCACTTTTTTTTTTACCGCTCTCTTTATCCACGTTGTCTTTTTCTGCAGCCAGCACTTCATAAACTCCAGCAGAGTTCAGGTTACTGCACAGTTTATTCAACGCTGTTGGAATTACAAGCATAAGGCAGCCAGCCCTGTTATTCAGACGGCTTACAGTGCCAGTGATTTTGAAACCTCTAATCCCTTCATTCGCCATTTGGAGGCCAGATTTTCACTGGCTTCTGTAGTTTGGACTGATCACACTGTAGTAAACAGTGAACCATTCATATCGATTTTAAAGGAATACTCTATTTTTCATTCTTCATCTGCCGCTTCTGTAGCACATGATCCGTTGCCATGAACAGTGATTTCCTCGTACTTTGAAAAGAACAGAAATCCTGTGGAAAATGGTTATAATGGAATCCAATGGGAAGCTTCTAATATTTATTTATTAATTTCCTGGTATTTTTTCAAGGGGAGACATTTGAAAGCATGCAATGACAATACACAGCTCCATGCATGTGCTAATTTCCAAATATGTCCTTTCATACATCTTGTAACCCACACCTCTCCCCCTTTGTTATTCTTTAAAAAGTTTTTTTTTCTCCCTTTTTAACATTCTTAAAAACAAAAACGACCAATAACTACACACATTAAAACTGGAGAAGATGCCTGGGGGAAAAAAATAAAAAATAAATGGAAAAAAAAAGAAAATTAAAAATGAATAAATCATAAAATGAATAAAGCTTCAGGGAAAAAGGGGGGTAATCACTCACATCGTATCTCGACAAACTCTGGCCTTGTAGACGTCATACTGTTGACCTATTTTAACCATAATTTTACAGATTTTGCCGTCGTCTACAGACGTCCAGACAGGCCATGAGGTAGTTATAACTCCCAGATTGTTATTTGGAGGTAACAAGTTAATTATCTTGTTATCTCAACAACAAAACAAAATTGTTATCTTGAAATAACAAGTTACTTATTTTGTTATCTCGAAATAACAAAAGTTCTTAAGGCAACGACTTGTCTTGCGATCTAAAAATAAAGTTGTTATCCTGAGATAACAAGTTAATTATCTTGTGATCTCAAGATAACAAATATAATTAGGTAACAAGAAAATTATCTTTTGATCTCGAGAAAAAGTTGAGATCTTGAGGTAACGAGTTAATTATTTTGCGACCTCAAGATATAGTTGTTGTCCTGAGATAACAAGATAACTAACTTGTTATCTCAAGATAACAATCCAGAAAATTATGGCAGCAGCTCACAGCCTCACCGGACGTCCAAAATCTTCAGACTAGGGAAGCTTCTGTTAAGTGTGTTGCGAGTTAACAAGTTTTTTTGTTCTTGTACAGAGAAATTCATCCAAGTTATTGTCTGTGGTAACTGACCATGTGCTACAGATACAGCAGATCAGCTCGGACAAACACTGGAGTCTGAGTGACCACAAGTTCCAGTAACATTGCAGGAGATCTATGGTCTCATGTTGAAACAGAAGCCTGAGCACAGAGCTGTGGGCAGTAATTTCATCATTAGAAATACATCAGCACATTATAACTACATCCGATTCTTACATCACCAATTTATAAGCGTCCTTTGTTACGTTTTTACTGTCTGTTTACGTCTCAGACATTTTATACTCACAGGATTTTGTCGCTACACAGTGAAGGAGCAGCTGTTTTACTGAATGAGTGCAACTCGTTGCTGCAGGATGTGTAACATAAATAGAACAACTCTAAGAAAGGGACCAAACTGTACTCAGTCAACAAACGTAGACATGAATATCGTATGTAAATTATTTTTTTGTATTATTATGAATAATAAAATAAAGAAAGAAATTGTGTTTTGATGTATTATTCAGTATTAGTGTATCGTAATTCCATATTTCTACACTCTTAAAAAAGATGGTTCTTCAAGGGTTCTTTACTAAAGAAAATGGTTCTATGAACCATGAACACTGAAAGAACCCTTTGCGTGCTTAAAGGGTTCTTTGCATGGTGAAAGCGTTCTTCAGAGTTATTGAGAATGAGCTGTAGATGGTTCTATATAGAAGTTTTTTGAAAAGGGTTCTATATAGCACCAAAAAGGGTTCCACCATTTTTTGGTACTATATGGAACTCTTTTTGCTTAGATTGTAAGTTGTAGTGAGTATGTGTACAGTTTTAGCAAACAGGGTTCTATGCAGTACCGAAAAAGGGTTCTTTGGCTTGTAACAACAGTGGAACCCTTTTGGGTGCTATATACACTGATCAGGCATAACATTCTGACCACCTCCTTGTTTCTATGCTCATTGTCCATTTTATCAGCTCCACTTACTCTATAGGAGCACTTTGTAGTTCTACAGTTACAGACTGTAGTCCATCTGTTTCTCTGATACTTTGTTAGCCCCCTTTTACCCTGTTCTTCAGTGGTCAGGACCCCCATGGACCCTCACAGAGCAGGTACTATTTGGGTGGTGGATCATTCTCAGCACTGCTGGAGTTTTTAAACACCTCAGTGTCACTGCTGGACTGAGAATAGTCCACCAACCAAAAATATCCAGCCAACAGCGTCCTGTGACCACTGATGAAGGACTAGAGGATGACCAACACAAACTGTGCAGCAGCAGATGAGCTATCGTCTCTGACTCTACATCTACAAGGTGGACTGACAAGGTAGGAGTGTCTAATAGAGTGGACAGTGAGTGGACACAGTGTTTACAAACTCCAGCAGCACTGCTGTGTCTGATCCACTCAGACCAGCACAACACACACTAACACACCACCACCACGTCAGTGTTACTGCAGTGCTGAGAATGATCCACCACCCAAATAGTACCTGCTCTGTGAGGGTCCATGGGGGGTCCTGACCACTGAAGAACAGGGTAAAAGGGGGCTAACAAAGTATCAGAGAAACAGATGGACTACAGTCTGTAACTGTAGAACTACAAAGTGCTCCTATATAGTAAGTGGAGCTGATAAAATGGACAATGAGCGCAGAAACAAGGAGGAGGTCAGAATGTTATGCCTGATCGGTGTAAAATAACATGTAAACATTGTTACATTTTCACAGCGTACTGTTCACTGACCAGGCCATACAGTCCATTTATGGAAATTAAGCTGAAATTAAGCACAGAAACTCATTCACCTGTATCTGCTTTTTCAACCTAAAGAACTTTAGCCCCACCTCTTCACACTGCAGTTATAAGGAGTGTTTCAGCCCAAACTTCAAAGGGAAAAGTAGGAGCAGAGGGTCTTAATGGTTAAACGATTTGGTCATTTCAGTAATTTCACTGTTTGTCAGCCCTGTTCCTGCATAATTAAACAGGTGAGATGTAAACAGAGTCGTTCAGAGTGGTTTGGTGTGAAACGCTCTGTTCTAGAGAAACTTACCGAGTCAGAATTGTTCACAGTGGTGGTGATAGGAACTTTGGGATTTTGATAGGAACTTTTAGGATTTTGGCCCATAGTCCCCACTTATGCTTTTCAGATTTTCCACTATTTTCCATCATCAACATTCCATATAAACTCAGAAGACTCGTGTAGGTTCACTGGTGGTTCTGGATAGTAAATAAAATGGCTATATTTGTGTTGTAGTCATGGCGACCCCTGGTTCCTCTCACCACCACTGTAAAGAAACCTGAACCATTTCACACCAAACCACTCTGAATGACTTTTTTTTAAAAAATAAACGTTTTAAAGTTTTAGAATGATGCAGAATTTTTGAAAAATGGGTGGAATTCTCCTTTAAGGGTTTAGTTATTAGCAGATGAGTTTAATCAGGTGTGTCAAATCAGGTTAAACAGTAACATGTACTGAACAACGCTGGGGAACGTTGGCTTATACAACACTGCCCTCTTGTGGCGATAGACATAAATGCACAGATGTGTAAGGTGATTGTGTATTAAAGTGTGCAGAACTGTGTTTGTGAGGATGTGTTAACTTATTTACACTTAGAAAATCAGCACGTGTTCAGTGGTCAGTAGTGGGCCGGTGATGGCACTTCGTCATAAAGTCAGTGAATAAATAACTGATTTAAACAATGCTCCCTGAAACAGCTCAGAAAATCATCAAAACCAAAAACGTGTCACTGGATCGGGGGGCGCAAACTTTTGCACGCGGCTGTACAACCGCAGCAAGTTTAAATGATAAAGTGTCTTTCTCATACAGCCGTGTGCAAAGGTTTGCGCCCCCCGTCCAGTGACATGTGGCAGTGCTGTATTTTATCGGTGTGTTAACGATGCGCGCACTGGATTCCAGTAAGTTCACTGCGTCACTGTCAGTGTTTATGTGGAGCTGATTGGCAGCAGAGGCGCCTCGCACTGCCTCCTGCGGCCTCTAGATGGCGCTGCTCCGCTTCATTCCAGTGAGACGGTGCTGAACTGCTGGAGCAGCTGCGTCTCTCACCTGAACCCAAAACTATCACACACACCTGCTGATCAGTGTGATTCAAATCTGACCCCCAAACACGCCCAGGTAAACACGGAGGGGCGGTTTGTCTGTCTGTCTGTCTGTCTGTTTGTTTGTTTGTTTGTTTATGTGTATGTGTGTGTGCGCTGATGAGCTGAAGTGTCCTGTGTGTGTGTTTTGTTTGTGTGTGTGTTGTGTATTGTGTATTGTGTGTGTGTGTGTGTGTGTGTGTGTGTGTGTGTGTTTGTATTGTGTGTTGTGTGTTTTGTTTGTGTCTGTGTTGTGTATTGTGTGTGTGTGTGTGTGTGTGTGTGTGTGTGTGACGCTGAGCGCCGCAGCGGGGAATTCTTCTCTTTCTCCTCCATTAAAAAGCCTTTATTAGCTCACTAATCCTTCAGCCGACTGACCTTCACTTCCTCTCTCTCTCTCTCTCTCTCTCTCTTTCTCACTCTTTCTCTCTCTCTCTCTCTCTCTTTCTCCACCCCCCCTCTCTCTCTCTTCCTCCCTCTCTCTCTTCTTCCCTCCCCCCTCTCTCTCTCTTCTTCCCTCCCTCCCTCTCTCTCTCCCTCCTGTCTTTCTTTTTTCTTTCTTTCTTTCTTTCTTTCTTTTTTTCTTTCTTTCTTTCCTATCATATTTGTGGATCGCCCTTTTTCTCATCTTGTTTGTTTGTAATTTTGTACTTAAAGTGTTCTCTCTCTCACTCTCTCTCTCTCTCTCTCTCTCTCTCTCACTCTCTCACTCTCTCTCTCTCTCTCTCTCTCTCTCTCTCCTCCTCATTGCTCTCTAGGGATGAAAAGCGCCAGAGGCGCGTCCCCGATGGCGAAGTGCGCGTTGACGCGCTGCCCCGGGCCAGTGACGCGCATGCGCACACGCAGCCCAGCGGCAGCACTGAGCACGCGGCGATCCAAACCGGGACCGGAGAGTGAAGCGGGAGTGGGGATGTGTCCTGTGGAGTGAGAGAGAGAGAGAGAGGGAGAGAGAGAAGTGGACGGAGACTGAAAGGTAAAAAAAACCTTTAATAATTCAGAGAAAAGCAGGTCTCACAGCTGATTTGGGCTCGTGCAGCTTTATGGAGTCAGTTAAAGCACTTTATCTCATCATTTCTGCTGCGGTCAGAGTGTAAAACCAGCGGTCAGTCTGTCTCAGGTGCGTCCGCTCAGCTCCAGCTGAGAGGACTGAGAGTGCAGGTTCTGAAGTTCTGGGTAAGAAAGCAGGACAGCAGGACCCAGAGGGCAGCTTGGGGCAGCTCAGGGCAGCTCGGGGCAGCGTGAAAATGCTGATGATGACCTGAAAAGCTTCTGATTTGCCTCACTGCAAGGATCGGTATCCTTTAGCAGCATTAGTTGTAGTTCTGATTGGAGAAAGTTCAGAGCGCTGCTGGTTTACGATGCGGCGGGAACGCAGGGGTGAAAGCTCAGCATCTGACTGAGGAGAAGATTTGAGGAAAGTTGGTGTTCTTGAGGGCAGAACAGGTGATTCTTCATCTTAGGAGTGATTTAACTGTAAGAAGTGTAGACTAGTCTTATAATTATTCTCATGGTGTGGTATATAAATGTAATTACACAATTATTACTTACTTACAAACTGAATTTCACTGACATTCTGCGCTGAATGCACTTCTGACCTTTTCCATTTCGCTGCTGTTAGAACAAAACCTTGTATCTTCATTTTTGATGATTTTCAGTTTTTGACAGAATCTGAAAACGCCTGTTGCTCTTTACGTTGTGTGTAAATTTCATGGTGAATGGACCCAAAAGAAACAGCCCAGAATGACTTGGGAAAAGTCTGGTTCCATTGACTTACATTAAAAGTAAAGTAGATTTTTTCCTTCTCCTGTAAAGTTACTATTTTGGAGATATGAGCTTTTGTTCTGACAGCAGTGATATATTTCAGTGTCATAAACTGGAAGAAATGTAAAGGAATTTTTTTGTATTTCAACAAAACAAGACTGTCTACACTGTTAGAAATTAAGGATCTGTGCAGATATAGTTTTTGTTCATCGAGGTACAAACAGTGTAAATGTTCCCTCAAAGCTCCAACAGTGGTTTTAAGGTCTGATTGTGAACCTTAAATAAGTTTTTCCTGGTGAAAAGTTCGTATTTGTATCTTTTCATAACCGAATGTTTTAAACAGAACAGTAAAATAAAGTCCTGGAGGCGAGACGGGGTGTGTGGAGTCAGTACAGCTTAGAACATATCATTTCAGTGGATTATGGTTCAGTTATGTTCCCTGACTAAAGGTACTGAGATGGACCCTGAGAGTCCCACCTCAGTGACAGGAGGGGCACTGACCCAGTGACAGTTCAGTACCTTTATTTCTGAGAGTGTGCACAACAAAAACTTTCCATCAAATTCACATCATAATAAAATATCTCCTCTCCTGCTTACAGACGTGGCTTGAAAGTTTAGGATCTGCACTTTCCACACAATTTCTCCACTTGTTTTAATGAGCGACGAGTCAGAAGTAATTTGTGTAAATGTACAGCGCTCATTACGAGCGTCAGTAACTGTGGCTTCTAAAGATTAAGGCCAGGCATGTTTTTCCAGTCGTATTACATTAATTCCAACTTGTGTATAACTCATAATACCTTGCACACCAACAAGAACTCACTCCACTAATCACTGTTGTCTCTGGTCAATATCCGTTAGCAGCATTAGTTATAGTTCTGATTAGAGGACTTTTACAGTGCTGCTGGTTTATGATGCGGCGGGAACGCAGGAGTGAAAGCTCAGCATCCGACTGAAGAGAAGATTTGAGGAAAGTTTGTGTTCTTGAGGGCAGAACAGGTGATTCTTCAGCTTAGGAGTGATTTAACTGTAAGAAGTCTAGACAGGTCTTCTAATTATTCTTATGGTGTGGTATACATATGTAATTACATAATTATTACTTAGTTACAAACTGAATTTGATTGACATTCTGCACTGAATGCACTTCTGACCTTTTCCACTTGTTTCAATGTCATAAACTGGCAACAGTGTAAAGGGTTTGTTTTGTATTTCAACAGAACAAAAAACATCCCATCAAATTCAAACCATAATAAAATATCTCCTCTCCTACTCAAAGAAAGGGATTAAAAGTTTAGAATCTGCACTTTCATGACTTCTAAATGTCTTTACACGCTAGGCATGTTTTTTTTGGACGTATTACCTTAATTCCAACTCGTGTATAACTCATGATATCTTGCACACCAGCATGAACTCACTCCACCAGTCAGTGACTGTGTTTACACTTAATAATCTGATAACTGCAGAAAATCAGATTTTGTCAGTAATCTGATCAATGTGTTTACATGCACTTGTGTAATCAGATAATGGGGAAACTCCAGGTCTACATGAGTCGGGCAGTAATCAGATTTCTATTTTGCAACCAGCCAATAAAGTCACAGAAGAAGACGAGACGCAAACATAACTTAAACTCAACTTCGCTCCACTTTACCTGAAAATATAAACATACATCATCTAGAAGATGAAGAATATTTAAATCCTTCATTTTGTTAAGCATGTATTTGGTTTCAGCGTCACTCCAAAAGTGTTTTGCTGCATCTCTCGGCGACGCTGCTCGCTTATTTCCGGTACCGCCGTCTGTTTTCGCACATGCTCAGACTGAGAAATCTGAAAGAAATCAGAGTAAGAGTTTACAGCACTGAGAAATCTGATTACTGAGCTAAAATCCAGTCTCTTTATCTGATTTCTTAATCGGATTTCTAGACCGTACTCTGATCTAAGAAATCTGACTGTGCTGTTTCCCATTTGAATAATCAGATAAATGCAAAAATCTGATTATGATCCGATTATTAAGTGCATGTATACACACTCACTGTTGTCTCTGGTGTTCGCATGCTGAGATTATTAAAAGGTTCATGCCGGGCCGACAGGACATGATTTTTTGTCTGATTCTAAGCCCGATTTGCTCCTTGCTTCAAATTTTCACAATCTGAAGTGATTTTCCAGGTCGGGAGCTCAATCAGAAGCGACTGATGGCGCGCATGATCTGGTAGTGTGAGAGGAGAAACAAGTGAATCTTTAGCCCTCTGATCTGACTTTGAAGTGATCAGAGACCCTCCGATATTATCAAACATGCTTGATATTTATGACTCAAAATGCTCACGGGTCCTGCAGTGTGAGACGGTCAGAGATGAACTCATCCAGTGATTCAAACAACAGCCAATCAGAGAGCTAGAAGAGCGGTGAAAAAGAAGTGATGCGCTTGAACAGCGGAGAGAAGAGCTGCGAGTAAAACACAGGCAGATAAGAGCCGATATCATGTTTATAATGTTGTAGTGTGATATCAGCGCTTCTCAGCCCCATTTCAATCCCCAGTTTGCACTTTTGCTCCACATTAAAGCACAAAAAGGTCCAGTAAGTTTAGCTCTGTGTGTGTCATGTGATCTGAGGAGATCTGGGAGTTTGAGTTCTTATTCGTAGCCGAATCTTTTTGCCTTGTTGTCTAGTCTGAGCGCCTCACGACAAAAAGACAAGAAATTCTGTGACAAACTGATGTTGAGTTTCTCCATTTTAGAAATCAGTTACGATTTTAAAAGCTGTGTGATGAATACCTTACTTTGTGTGCTGCTTCGTCATGTGTGGCCTAGGACCTCCAAAAGAAAGTCAGACTGAGTTATGGGCATCTGTGCTATTGATGTAAGCACTCATTAAGTTTCAGCTCCTGAATGAGGCAGTGAAACTTTCCGTTTCCTTTCACTTTTCCAAAATGGCAAGTAGCCCATCCTGCGTCACTGTTTGCAAAAGATGTCTTGCAAGACATTCTGCCTGCTTGTTTGTTTATTCCAACAGCACAAACAACACAACAAAATTCAAAATAAAAAAAGATGCATCCAAAAAAAACAATAATGTCTTAATATTTCACATTTTCCTGTCATTTCCTGAGTAACAGCCTTTAAGCTTGGCCAGCTCCTCATTCTGTTTCTGTGTTACAGGTGATGGGTCGTTAGCTGTGAATGCCACTCTGCTTGTTGGCATTGCCCCTCACTCCTGTCCCTCCGAACCCAGGCGCCCACCATGGTGTACGGTCAGATCCTGCACCGCCGTGGCCCAGACGACAGCTTCATCAACCTGAACGTGGGCGGCTATAAGCAGAAGGTGGCTCGGGTGGTGCTGCAGCGTTTCCCGCACACGCGCCTCGGCAAGCTGCTTTGCTGCCACTCGGAGGCGGCCATCCTGGAGCTGTGTGATGACTACAGTGCTGTGGAACGCGAGTACTACTTTGACCGAAACCCTCGTTTCTTCTGCTACGTGCTGAACTTCTACCACACGGGGAAGATCCACCTGATGGAGGAGCTGTGCGTGTTCAGCTTCAGCCAGGAGCTGGAGTACTGGGGCATCAAGGAGCTGCACCTTGACTCCTGCTGCAGCAACAAGTTCCAGGAGCAGAAGGAGAACGCTGGAGACCGGGACTGGAATGAGGATGAGCCTCAAAACCACCTTCATGAGAGTTTTGACTCATCCATGGAAGAGCTGTCAGCTCTGGACAAGGACCTGGAGAAATTCGAGGGCACCTGGTGTTCGGAGAAACGCAAGCAGCTGTGGCTGCGCCTGGAAAATCCGGCATACTCGCGATCAGCCAAGGTGTTGGCTGTAGTTTCCTTGAGTGTGGTGCTGATTAGCATCGTGGCAATGTGTGTTCACAGCATGCCTGAGTTCCACAAGGTTGATGCCAATGAGAAACCAGTGGAGGACCCGGTGCTGAACATTTTCGAGACCATTTGCATCATCTGGTTCACTTTCGAGTTCATCATACGGTTAGCCGTCACGCCTTGCTTGCGCAAATTCCTAAGCAACACCCTCAACATCATTGACTTTGTCTCCATTGTCCCGTTCTATGCCACTTTGGCGTTTGATAAAGTGGACCCTGAAGAGAGTGAAGAGTTGGAAAATGTGGGGAAGGTGGTCCAGATCCTTCGGCTCATGCGAATCTTCAGGATCTTGAAGTTGGCACGCCATTCCGTTGGCCTTCGATCCCTCGGTGCCACCCTCCGACACAGCTATCACGAGGTTGGACTCCTCCTCCTCTTCCTCTCTGTTGGAATATCCATCTTTTCCGTGCTCATCTATTTCGTGGAAAAAGAGGAGGACGAGTCCGAGCTCCAGACCATCCCTGTAGGATGGTGGTGGGCCACCATCAGCATGACCACGGTTGGGTACGGGGACACATATCCCATCACACTTGCTGGGAAACTCATCGGCACCCTTTGCATCATCTGCGGCCTGCTGGTGGTGGCTCTACCCATCACCATCATCTTCAACAAATTCTCTAAGTACTACCAGAGACAGAAGGCTCTTGTTGAGTCGGACCAGTTCGGATTTGAAGGGAAAGGGCCTATCCCTGGGATACCTTTCTTCAACATGAAGGACTTGTATGCCCAAGGGGTTAACTCTCTCCTGGCCAGTCTGTCTTCCAGGAGCAGTGTGGCGAGTGGAGGGGATGCCACAGATGCCTCCAGCATTCAGGACATTGAGACTGTCTGCCCAGCAGGTCTCGCCGAGACTGGAGAGGAGACATGAATTAAGGGAATAGTTTGGTGAGAAATCAAATTGACACAGTTTCCAGATTTCCACAAATGTAGTCAGGCAAGACATGTTTGGTGTCCAAAGTTTGATTCTTTGGTTTTGCACTGGAGCAATGAGGCTAATTAACTTGCTGGCGTTGTCCACACGCTTGCATCACACACTTACATCAAACTGTGTAAAATTATTAAGCAATCACCAATAAACTTGCTTATGTGATTTCTGTCACTGAATGACATAATGCAGTCTATAAAAACATGTAAAGGTACGCTGTGAAGCTAAAAACATTAGCAGCCATCTTGAAGCCTGAACGTCGTCTATACTTTGTCCAGACTGCATCAAAAGTAGAGCGATCAAATGGTTAAAATTCTGACAAAATAAGCTTCAACAGACTGTATTTATTACCGTCACTAATTCAGTTACATTATTTTCATTAGAACCTAAACATGAAAATCACTTGATTTCCAGAGTGAACGCAGTTTCCAGTGAGAGCAACAGTGGCTCCATGTTCCGACCAATGAGTGTAAATATCATATATGCCATCATTGGGCCTCACTCACCAACTGTTTGAAGAAATTGTTTCTTATGTGGGATTTGTTCTTAGAACAGAATCTACACACACTCAAGAGCACGAAGGTGCAAACAGTTCTGCAGTTGAAGAACATGCCATGAATCTGACGTAGACTTTTCTTACCATCTCAGAAACTGTCAGAAACTGTCACTGGGGCAGAACCCCTCTTGGGGTGGTTCCCTCAAGGGTCCATCTCAGTACCTTTAGTCAGGCAACATAACTGAACCATAATCCACTGAAATGACATGTTCTAAGCTGTACTGACTCCACACACCCCGTCTCGTCTCCAGGCTTTTATTTTACTGTTCTGTTTTAAAACATTCGGTTATGAAAAGGTACAAATACGAACTTTTCACCTGGAGAAACTTATTTAAGGTTCACAATCAGACCTTAAAACCACTGTAGAACCTTTGAGGGCACATTTACACTGTTTGTACCTGCACAGAATCTTTATTTCTAACAGTAAAGAAACCGTTCTCAAAAACAAACTTAAGAAAAAACTTAGGAACATGTTGCTGAATGAGGCCCATTGAGCATGTGGATTCTTGTTACAGTGGAGGCTATCGAGGAGGACTGGGGCTTCTTTCCACTGTTGCTTTTGTTAGTTTGCTGCTCATTCACAGTTCTCTGTGAGCGCTGTCCAGTGTAGTCCACTGATGGTGCCTCGTATCTCCAAAACGGTAACTTTACAGGAGAAGGAAAAAACCTACTCTACTTTTAATGTAAGTCAATGGAACCAGAATTTTTCCAGGTCATTTTGGGCCGTTTATCTTTGTCCATTCATCTTGAAATTTCCACAAAATGTAAAGGGCAACAGGCATTTTTAAATGATGTCAAAAATGGAAAAACGTTTTCTTCCGACAACAGCGATATTTTTTATGCTTATGTAAGCCACCTTTGCATGAAAAAGCACGCTGGTGGTACGAGACTACTTGGACAGGCTTGGCTGTTGTTATAGCGCCCCCTGCTGTAAAGCTCAGAATGCAGCATGCACTTGTGTTACATTATGAAATGCGTTATGACACATTTTTGAATGCAACTACGCGTGAAACCCCGTCTGCATAGCTCAAACCGTCTGCGTTCCCATCCTTGCATGAAGTATGTTTCAGGCCTTAGACATGCAGTTTGCACAATGCTAAGTAGGAAATATACTTACTGCATTACTACTAACTATTATGATAGCTGCTTTAGCCTCAGAGCTCCAGTGCAAAACTAAAGCAAGCTTCAGAGGCCATACATGTCTCGGCTGATCAACTACATTTGCGGTGAGTGGGGAAACTGCTCACATTAGATTTTTCGCTGAACTATTCCTTCAGACCCTGAACGTTCACTGAGCAATCACAACCACGTGTAGAATCTGCTCACGCTCTTCCGAGAGACTGCAGGACGCAACGCTGGGCCTGTGCTGATGGAGCGAGTTGTGAAACTTGAAGCTGGGTGTCGTACTCATGCCAGGAAACCTCTCAGCTGGGGTTGTTCCTCACAGGAGTGGAGGAAACGGTGGCCTGATGAAATGAAAAACGGGAATGACTTGAGAAAAACTCAATAGACAACAAATGGCACTTTTCTGGCTTTTGTTCTCAGGGTGAAAAGCAACTGACCCATGTCTGTCTTCCTGCCCCTCTGCTGTGGTGCAGCAACTCAAAGGACGCTTGCTTTAATTCACAGTTTGGCGCATTTGAGGGGAATTCCACCAATCTTTCAACATTTCTGCATGATTAAATCATTAAGATGTGGAGTGGTGATGCAAAATGCTCTGTATTAGAGTCAGAACTGTGCATAGTGGTGGTGATAGGAACCAGACGTCCACCTCTAAAAGCTCCATGACTGAAAGTTATTGCATGAAATGTTTCTGAATGACTGAGATGGTAGTAAGGTAGCTTTTGGACATATTTTTTTCATGGCCATTAATGGTGGAGGGGTACATGAAGGGCATTGTGAGGCAAAATAGTCCCTAAAGAAAACATTTTTTTTTCAGATTTTCCTCTATTTTTCAAATAAAATGTCTATATTTGTGTTGTAGTCATGACCACCCCTGGTTCCTATCACCACCAACATAAAGAAATCTGAACCATTTCACACTAAACCACTCCGTAAATCTCACTGTTTGAAAAATGGGTGGAATTCCCTTTCAAACGTCGGCGTCCAGCACTAAGGCTGACCCGTCAAATACGTCTAACCTGCTAGTCTGGACAAATTAAATAAAACTGAATGACGTGTCCACGACCTAAACGGACAACTGCTCATCTAATTAAAGTCAAAGTGATTTTCCCAGAACTGGGAAAAGAGAGATGCTTGAATATTTCATAGCAACTGACAGCATTCATACTTGTTTGACTTGAAGATGGCATGTTAGTGCATACCTCCCTCCCTTTAATCTGCCCGTTGGAAAGCCGCAAGAAAGTGTGCATGCATATTTCAGAAGCAGAGGGGCCGAGGGAGGAGGAGAGGAGGAGGAGGAGGAGGAGGAGGAGGAGGTATTGATGTAATAAAGTGTTGATGGAGAGCACCTCTGGATAACAGCCGTTCATTATGAAATCATTGCATTGACCCGCGATGAGACATTGATGAGGTAACTGGTTGCTTTTATTGTGTTTTCTATGCAGAACCTCCTGCATCTAGAAAAATGCATGAAAAAATGATCTTCAAAGGTACTTGTGACATTCAAGAGCGGTCAGTTAACCCTCAACAAAACATGGGCCAAAAGTTTTATTACACACCTATAACCTAAGAATAGCTCCATTAGTTTACACTGAACTCCCTGTACACGCTTGTGAGATGGTTCTTCAGGGGTTCTTTAGGGTTCAATATAGAACCATGAACACTCAATGAACGCTTTGCATGACTAAAGGCTTCTTTGCATCATGAAATGCTTCTTCAGACTGATGGAGAATGTGCTGTAGATGGTTCTACAGAGAACCATTTTGTTTACCAAAGAACCCTTGAAGAACCATTTCATGATGCAAAGAAGGCTTTAATCATGCAAAGTGTTCTTTGAGTGTTCATGGTTCTATATTGAACCCTTTTGGTTCTTCAAGGGTTCTTGAATAAACAAAATGGCTCTATATAGAACCATGAACACCACAAAAAAACCCTTGCATAATAAAGGCTTCTTTGCATCAAATCATTTGAAATTGTTCTTCAGATTGAAGGAGGATGTGCTGTAGATGGTTCTACGTAGAACCTATTTGAAAAGGGGTCTTCTATTGTTACGTCTTGCTTGATATAGTAACAATATTAGAACCCTTTTTGGTGCAATACAGAACCCTTTTCAATTAGGTTCTATAGAACCATCTACAGCTCATTCTCCATCAGTCTGAAGAACCATTTCATGATGCAAAGAACCCTTTAAAACGTCCAAAGAGTTTTTTGGGATTCCCTGGTTCTATGTAGAAACATTTTCTTTACTAAAGAACCCTTGAAGAACCATCTTTTTTACGAATGTATGCTTTTGCATTCTACAAACCAAGACACACAGCAATAATAGCACCAAAAGGGTTCTGCTATTGTTACAATATCAAGCTTGTTACAATAGAGAACCCCTTTTTGGTGCTACGTACCATTTCCACAACACATTCTCCATCAATCTGAAGAACAATTTCACAATGCAGAGAACGCTTTAATCATGCAAAGGGTTCTTTGAGTGTTCATGGTACTATATAGAACCATTTTCTTTACTAAAGAACCCTTGAAGAACCTTCATTTTTAAGTGTGTAGTTATTGAATAATAAGCCTTTGTATGAAATAAGCCCAGGTTGTTAAGGGTTTAATGGAGTAGTTTGGTGAATAATTGAATTTATGCCATTTTTCTGTTGGATAAAAATACAGACAAAATTCAGGCGCCGTCTTGCTGGTGTACAGTTAGAGACTGTAGCCCATCTGTTGAAGCACTGATCAATTTCTGACCACAGAGCCACTTTTAGGCAGGATATCTTTGGTGGTGGACCACCCTCAGCCTAGCGGTGACACTGACATTGTAAAAGACCCCGTCAGTGCGCCTTTATACACTCAAATATTTACCAACACTTTACTTGAATGGTGTCTACATAACACATTCATAACATCTTACATAAATACTTCGTAACATGTTCATGAATGTTTAAATCAACACTCATAAAGCTTAAATGTTTAACATTTGGACCGACATTAATGTGGACTACTATATAATTACTATGTAATTTGAGAGCCATTTATCAAAATAAAAGTTCTAATTTTTTATTTTATTTTGGAAAACTATATTATTTTCAGTAAAATGCCTCTAGACAGCCAAAATAAAAATGACCTCGCTTTACCCCTATGGTCATTAAGTGCTTTGACACTTAGGCACACCACCATAGTGAGATTCAGAAGAATGATTGTTCCTGGCATATTTAAAAGTAATTTATGGCCCATTTAGTAAAGTGAACAGAAAAGCAACAAATGCTTAAGAAAAAACAGATAATTAACAAGAAGTTGAAAGTATAGGTCAGGGGTTGGGAACCCAGATGTTAAGAGTCATTTTGTCCTTTCAGCAAAAATCAAACCACCTTGGGAGCCACAACATTTTTTGTCCATTTTACCATCTTGGCTGTAAATATGTCCCAGTATGTGCTGATGTACTAGTATCGGCTAAGAAATATAATATAAATGAAAACTCAGACTCACTTTGCTCTGCTTTAAGCTGTAGCTCAGCTATAGCTGCTTTTCTCGCATCTCCAGCAGGAAACTTTTCCTCAAAAGTAGAACAGTTTCTTGTAAAATGTCTCTCGACGTTCCACTTTTTCGAGGC